GGAAAAATATTATAGGCCCAGAAAGATAAACAGCATGTATTCTTTTTTATATCTGAATCCTAGATTCAAATATTTAGATTTGTATGTTTAATTTCAAGTATATGTTGAGGTCAGGAAGCCAGAAAGGGCCCATGAGAGAAGACAGGGAAAGTAGCCTAATGGAGGAGGCAATGGTAGAACGCATGATATTAAAATGGTGGGGGGGTGTTAGGGTTGAAGGTAGGGATGGCAGCAGGTAAATGAGGGAAAGGAGGGGATGAAGGGGTAGGTTAATGAAAACTAAAGTCGCTTGAAAAGGCCTCATGGAAACCCACTACTTAGCTAATTTAAAAACCTATCATTTTAAAGAGGCTAACTGGTTCAGAAGTTAGGCTCGATTATTGTTTTTGCTTTTGCAGAGAACCTGAGTTCTACTCCCAGAACCCACATGGCAACTCACAAGCATCTATGACTCCAGTCCCAGAGGATCCTAAGCCCTCTTTTAACTTCCATGAACATCAGGAAGGCACATGGTGCACATACATACATGCAGACAAAATATTAACACATAAGTAAATAAAAAAATAAAATGTATCAAATCTTAAAAAATAAAAAGGAGTCTAAACATATTCAACATAGGCAGATAATGCTGTTCCCAGAAAAAAAAATTACTGAATGAAACAATCTCAATGCCATGCATGGAATATTTGGTGACTACCATAAATGGATGGCAAAAGTCTACAGCTAAAGACACTACATGCTTTGGTTGCAGAACATAAGGAAACTTTTCTCCTGCTGGATAGCTTGTAAGTGCCAGAGGTGTTTTGTAGGACTCTGGGATAGAAAAGAGATCAATGAGCCCTGCATACTACAGTACTAACTTGCCAGACAAGATGTACCCACTAGAGCAATAGTGGTGTGACTGTTATAAGGAGGGAGGTAACCAACTGCTTTCTGATTGAATTTGTAGTCTGCTCGACAAGAGAAAATTTATGCCTGGTAATATAAACCTGATTAAAAAAACAACAAACAAAATCCTTGGCTACTGTCCTAGCTTGCTTTTCTGTTGCTATGATTAAACATTGACTAAAAGCAACTTGAGAGAGAAAACCATTTACTTAGCTTATAGGTTATAATCCATCATCAAGGAAAGCCAAGGAAGGAACACAATGCAGAAACTTGGAGGCAGGAACTGAAGCAGAAGCCATGGAAGAACATTTCTTACTGTCTTGTTCTCCATGGCTCACTCAACTTGCTCTTTTACAAAACTCAAGGCCACCTGCCCATGGATAGCACAGTCCATAGTAGGATGGGTCCTTCCACACCAATCATTAATCATGAATATTCCCCTTTAGACTTGTCTACAGGCCAATTTGATGAAGGCATTTTCTCAACTGATATTCCCTCTTCTCAAATGACTCTAGCTTGTTGACAAAAATAAAACTAAAGGAAAAGCTGAGTGACAATTATTCCTAATGCATAAACTAATGACATGGCCACTCCGTGCTATGATTAAGGAGGTTTTTATTGCAGATATGAGAGCGAGAGAACAGCCAGAGGCATCTGGAAGAGTCCAGAGCAGATAGAGAAAGAAAATGGCCAACACATTGGACCTGGCCATGAGAGAAGCAGTAGCAGAGCAGAAAGAGAGAGAAAGGGTAACATGGGGAGAGGGAGAACATGGAAGAGCAGAGAGAGGGAGAGGGGGGAGATAGATGAAGACAAAGAGAGTGAGCATAAACGAAATAGCAGGGACATAAGGAGAATGAGTAGCTATGGGGAGGGAAGCCTGTGGGCTTGGGGAGAAATACTTCTCCTGAACAAAGCCTCAAACAGAAGTAATCTCAGTATCAGGTATGAATCTTTCTCTTAGGTCACCTTAGATTATAAATTTTTTAAAAAGTAAATAAATAAAATAAATTTTAAAAATGGAGCCTAAAAGAAAAACCTGACCAAAAAAAAATCATACACTACAAGCGTGGGTATAATAGGTATTCTCTTTAACTTTGGGGGCCTTTTTTGAAGCTGTTCAGGCCTGAGGTGTGAGAGACTGCCAGTGTCGTGGAATGTGTGCTTGAGCCCTTGTGAACAGCTTGGCATCATTTCACTGTACAACTGAAACACCGCCAGCCATCTGCAGCTTTAAATGAAAGGGTGTTTAAAGTCTTGATCCATAGTTCTCTTTCTTAAATAATTGAAACAGTTGACCAGTTTTTGATTGGCAGACTCTCAACTGTTAGACTTTAAATGATCCCAAATAGTATATTTCTTGGAAGCTAAACTATGCCTAGATGTGGGACAGAATTTGGAATTCTGAGAAACTTGATGTCACACAGGTTGGCTTGGGGCTGGTGCATTCTAGCAGTCCTGGCAGACCTTAGTTCTCCCACAGTGGAGCACGTCAGTCTGTATCTTAGCTGTGCTAACGGGGTGGTTTAGATCCTTCTTTCTCAAATCACAGGTTTGAGAAACTGCAGGTTTCTGAAATATACTATTTCTGAAACCTTTCTCTTCTATTTAGTTTGAGGTGTGTGCGCACACTCAAGTGCTCGCACTCTCCTGTGCGGGTGCATATTTTAAATAATTGTCTTTAACTCAGGGCTGAACGTTTTGACTTTGGTAAGTATGTTTTTTGTCAGTGTTTTCTGTCATCTCTGGGCTTGCTGCTCCCCAGTTTCAGATATTAGACTAAACATATTGCTTATACAAGAACAAGGCGACTCTGGGAGGGTTAAGTATTTAGCAGGGAGACATATAGTCTGCTAGAAGACTGAATGAGGCACGAGGGACTCCTGAGAAAGCTGGTTCATGGTCTGGACAAGCCTGTTTCAGCCTCAGCAAGGGGCTGACTGGACCAGTTCAGAATCTTTTGAACTCTGAGATAGCATAACCTAGTTTGTTGGGGGGGGGGTCTACCCAACCCTCTAAAAACACTGCTTTCAAAATAGATGTGTACATTCTCAGCAGTTTTGGACAATAACATCTTGAAGAGTCATTCTCTCAGTGCATTAAACAGGTCTAACCCAATGTCCTTGGTGGGGTGCATTATGATTCAGTTCTGATTCAGTAAGCACAGTTGAGGAGGCTCCAGAGCCAGCTCGTTTGTTCTACAAGGGTCCCTCACTGCCTGTGAAAAGTAAATACTCTTTTAACTGTCATCCTCATTTACTGATACCTGGATGTATCAGTAAATGTATTTATTTCAACCACAAATAAACCATCTTACCCACCTGAGGTCGGCGGGGACCTTCCTGGACAGAGTTCCTCCTGATCACATACTCAAAAATCCATGTTTGAGTCCTTTCTTCTTCCCTGGAAGGTGGGGTGTGGGGCAACAGTGGCCAAGTGACTGCCTGATCTTCTCTGCCAGGTGTGAAAGATGTTCGACCTGAGAACGAAGGTTATGATCGGCATCGCTAGCAGTTTGCTGGTTGCTGCAATTATGCTGATAATCGTTGTCCTTTGTCTTTACTGGAAATTAGCCAAGGCACTGAAGTAAGTACCGTGAGTAGGAGTGAACCACAGGTCTCCAATGAGACACTGGAGCCTCTGCTAGAGCAGGGTCACTTCTTACTGCAGTGGCCACTTGAAGGGGAAAGTCGAGGGCCACTGTCAGGTCTGAGAGGGTGGGAACAGGTGGGCACAGAAGCTTGAGGGTTTTCCTTATAGCTTGGGGCTGTGTGAGCTTACATGCCCACTGCTCTCAGGCTGGACACTATGTGCCAGCATCGATTTCTGTCACTTGGCCTCAGGGACTGTGTCTTCAGGTGTTTAACAGGACCTTGGCTGAGCATCCTTTCTAGCCCCAACACTGTGGCCTGGGTAATCCCCAGAGGACGCCTTGGGGATGTGCTGTCTCCCACTCACAGAGTATGGCCATAGTGACCTCTGACCACTCACTGGGAAGCTCACATGGTCCCTCGTTCATTGTCAATGGCTGTGGGAAAGTGAAGTGGGCCCAGAGAACAGAGACTCACTCCACGGGGGGTGGGGGGCAGCTGACAGGGAGGGAAGTCAGACAAGAGATGTTTGAAGTTTGGCAGAGAATCCTGAAGTCTGAGAGGCTGGCTGTCAGCAGTAACGGTGCCCCTTCCTAGGGTCTTAGATGGTGGAGGCCAGAGCTGAGCCCAGCCAACTGTAGCACCTTCTCCATTACTCCCACATCTCATGGGCCTGTAGCAGCCACTGGGGTGCAATTCACTCTCCCTTGTGTGGAGTGGTAACCTGGGTTCACATGCATAGCAATTGTAGGAGAGGAAAAGATGGGAAAGGAGCAGAGATTTAACCCAAGGCTGGTGTCCCATGTGTGATGGGTTCCAGCCCTGGACTTTCCCACATAGCCCTCATGATTGTAGAAGCTCATTGGAAAGGGCAGTTCTGACCTCATTTTGTGTGTGTGTCTTTTCTAAGAATGGCAAAGGAGGCAGATGTTGAAAATTGTATTGGTCCATGCAAGTTCTCCCAAAGCAAGATCAACGGAGTCAAGCCCATTCTTGCTGAGTCTTGTCCTGCCGTCCAGTACTGTGATGACTGTAGCATCTATACAGACGTTGGCAGCCTGCCTCCTTGCTTTTGTGGCACAAGTGATGGCCTCTAACGTGGCAGAAGCGGACACACAACTCCTCACAATTTGTATTTCTTTGTTAGTAGAATATTTTATTTTTCAAATCAATTTATATAATGTTTATATTCTTATTTACTCTCTGATATGTTATATTATGTTTTGTTCTTTGTATAATCGCACAATAATAAAAATTCTTTACCTTTACTTGGTGGTGGTGATGGCTATGAATGACCTTTAGTCTAACTTTGTTTTTTTTTTTTTTTTACTCATTTTGATACTTGAGCCTATAAATGTTGCAATGCAAGTAAGGGAATTTAGAGTAGAAAATAAAAAGGGGGCATGTAAATAATTTTAGTGATGGGATGCCATTTTGCTAAATGCCCAAATAGTTTTAAAAAGTATTTTAAAATTTGGTTGAAGATAGGTCCGAGGAGAGATCTGGCACTAGGGAAATTTCCAGAGACCTACAAGGACCACAGGAACTGACAATCCAGGCAATGGTGGAGAGGATAACCTAAACACCCTCCCCCTAAAATGAGATTGATGACTACTTTTTATGCCATCCTAGAGCCCTCATCCAGTGGCTGATGGAAGCAGAGGCAGACATCCACAGATATACACTGAACTGAACTCTGGAACTTAGTTGCAGAGAGGGAGGAATGAAGATCAAAGGGGTCAGTACCAGGCTGGTGAAACCCACACAAACAGTTGGCCTGAACAAGGGGGCACACATCGACCCCAGATGCTGTCTGGGAGGCCAGTACAAGACTAATCCAGACCCCTGAATATGGATGTCAATGAGGAGGCCTCTGCACTCCAGGGGGCCCCTGGTAGTGGATTAGTATTTTTTCCCTGGTGTAAGAAGGGACTTTGATGGTGGACTTTGGGGAGCCCCCGTTGAAGGCCCTACCCTGCCTGGGGAGTGGAGGGTGGATGGGGTAGGGGTTAGGTTGGGGGTGGGGGAGGAGGGGTTGGGAGTGAGGGGAGGGAGAGGGAGAAGGGATTGATATGTGAAACAAGCTTGTTCCTAATTTGAACTAATAAAAAAAAATCAAAAAAAAATTCAGTTAAACTGAAACTTCCAATGCCCAAGGGGGAAAAAAAATGATGCCTGAGTGAGATGACTATTTCAGTGCTAACTTCTGCTCAGAATTTTGTTACATAGTATTCCTTTTTCTCTTTTTCTTACTTCCATTCTTTTTAAAAACTGTTTTGTACTTAAAACTTTAATTTTTAAGTTGAAAATAGTTGTCATACTGCATATTCTGATTATGGTTCCAAATACCCTAACTCCTCCCAGATCCTCACACCTTCCCAACCACCCAAGTCCACATCCTTTCTTGCTCTCTTTCATTAGAAAACCAACAGGCATGTATAGAAAAAATAAGAACAAATAAAATCAAACAGGACAAAACAAACAAATGAACAGAAAACCAAAGAGCCAAGGAAAATGCATAAGAAACACATACAGACATACACATTGGCACAAAGAAATCCACCCCCCCAAACACCAGAAAATTGAGACCAATAATGTATAAGACTTGTAGGAGGGGAAAAAGAAAAAGAAAAAAAAAATCCCAGATAAGGCATTATGAGACAAAACCAAACAGGCAACAAACCAAAACCTCCAAAATACCATTGGGCATGGGGCCTGGCCTTAAGAGAGGTTTGTATAGACAGTGAGACTCCATTGGAGAAAACTGATTCTCCATTTGCAAGTGGCTATCAATTGGAGACAGCTTCTGGGTTAGGGATACAGGCTTATTTCCACTTCCACTGTCAGTGCTGTGACCTCAGACCTGTGCAGCCCGTACATGCTGCCAGTCTCTGTGAGTTCATACACATGTCAATTCTGCTGTGTTTAGAAGGTCTTGTTTCTTTGGCGTCCAGCATCTTCTCTGGCTCTTACAATATTTCTGCCCCCTCTTCTGTAGGTTTCCTTGGGCCACATGTAGAGGGAGGGAATTTATAGAGACATCCCATTTAGGACCAAGTGTTCCACGGTCTCTCATTCTTTATACATTGTCCAGGTGTTGGTCTCTGTAGATTTCTTTTTTAAACTTTATTTATGTGTATACATATGTACCTGATTGTCTATGTGTATAACATGTCTATGAAGTGACCATAGAGGCCAGAAGAAAGTAGTGGATCTCCTAAAGCTGGAGTTATAATGGTGAGCTACCTGGCATGGGTATTGGGAACCAAACTTAGGTCAGCTGGAAGAACTCTTAACTCCTGAGCCATGTTTCAGCCTACAAAAAATATTTTTATCAGTAATATAAGAATTCTAGGGGCTAGAGAGATGGCTCAGCAGTTAAGATCACTGACTGCTCTTCTAGAGGTCCAGAGTTCAATTCCCAACAACCACATTGTGGCTCACAACCACCTGTAATGAGATCTGGTGCCCTCCTCTGGCTTGCAAGGACACATGTAGGCAGAAAAAAAAATATATATATATATGTATTATAAATAAATCTTCAAAATAATTCTACATGAATGTATCATAATTTACTTGACCCAAACTTTACTACTGAAAACACATTATTTCTAAATTCCATTTATTAAATATTAAAAGTGGTACCATCAAAGTTCTTATCACTAAGAATATACTAACAGAAAATAAAACACTTTAGGGTTAGCAAGCCTGAATTCTGAAGGTCAGGTTGGCAAATCTGTTACCAGGTTGCCAAATTCAAGGGCATACTGGTTTCTTTTCTCAGTGCTGAGACCAAATTCCTGATACAGAAAAGGGAAGCAAAGGTTTGTTCTGCCTTCAGTCTCAGGGTACAGTCCACTGAGATGAGATGGTGGCAGGAGCATGTGTCACACATGTGTCACACAGAAGTAGGCCACATAGTGTCAGCAGTCAGGAAGCAGAGGGAGAGGAAAGCTGTGCTCAGCATGCGTCCTCCTTTTTATCAGTCTGGGACCCCAGCCACCCACACGTAGGGTTGGTCTTCCTACCTCAGTCCAGTCTAGTAACTCCCTCACAGATATACCTAGAGGTCTGTCTCCTAGATGATTCTAGACCCTACCAAGTTGATAACAAGTATTAACCATCACAAGCTTTTAAGAATTATGGGAACGGCCAGTGTTCTGGGCTGCACAGGCCCCAAGGGACCAGTTAGGATTCTCTAGAGAAATAGGACTTATTGAATGAATATGGTCCAGCTAATATAACAATGGAAGTCTAGCAACAGAGTCCAGTAGTTGTTCAGCCCATGAAGCTGGATGTCCCAGCTGGTCTTCAGTATACACCAGAATCCTGAAGAACTAGGCTCTAATGCTAGTGAAGGAATGGACTTGCAGCAAGGGGAAATATATTAATTAATTTCAGATGTAGTCAAGTTGACAACCAAGAATAGTCATCATAAGACCACCTCTTCTCAACTTGACACACAATCATATCTCCTATGTCATCCTTATTTCCCAAATGAGAGCAATAATCAGGTCATAATTACACCCAAGCTGATAGAACTACCCCATGTGCAATTACAAATTCATTCTATATTTAACAGGTCAAATTACATGTAATGTAATATAACTATTCCTCATACAACTGCAAACACATTATACATTATAGAATAAGTGGCAATATCCCTGAAGGGACATTCTTTTAGTATGTCAAACTTAAATATTATAACCACTGATATTCTCTTAATTGATATCATACTACATGATAATAATTGAGGAATGAAAACACAAAAACGCCGGGTGTTGGTGGTGCACACCTTTAATCCCAGGACTCAGGAGGCAGGGGCAGGTGGATCTCTGTGAGTTCAAGGTCAGCCTGGTCTACAGAGTCCCAGGACAGCCTCCAAAGCCACAGAGAAACCCTGTCTCGAAAAACAAACAAAAAAACCACAAATACTTGTACAAACACATTCTTAACAAAATATATTACAGAAACAGTCAGTTAGAATCCTCACTTCTGAAACTGATCATGTGACCTTAGCTGGCATTTATATCTCCCTTCCTCTACTCCCCATTCTATATTTCCTCCACCCTCAGCAAGTCCTGGCTCTTTTCTCAGAGTAGTGACTCATACCTTCATTCCTGAAGGGTCTGTGTCCTTTGTCATCATTCCTGGATTAGGCTGCTATAGCTTCACACTGATTTATTCACAGGACATGGTAGCCCAAGAGATGCTCCAAAGTCTCTTTTTATGTCTACTGTGGAGAAGCAATCCAATTTCCCCATGGTAATCTGGATCAATCACCCCTCCTAACACTGTTATTCCTTTCTTAGTCTGTTGGCTAATGGACATCAGAAGCCCAATGTGGCCAGAGCATCTGAGCTTCAATGGAACATTTGTTGTGACTCCTGACAGGAGTGCTCCCCCTTCTGGAACCAAATCTTCTAGGCAAGAACTTAAGGTCATGGGAACAAGAAGCAAAAAATGTTCCTAGTGGGTCACTAGAGGTGACAGTAAGTGGAACCATTCCTTTTGATTCTTGGGCCCATGGATTCTAATTAGAGGAGAACCCATTCCACATACTGGATGCTGATTCAAAGCATGTACCCCAGCACTCTAGGCTGCTGCCACCTAATTGGCACTGCCACAGTGTCTTTGAAAGGCCATTCCATCTTTCTATCAGGGCAGCTGCTTCAGTACAATGGGGAATATGGTAAGACCAATAAATTCCAGATTGTGGGCCCACTATCACACTTCTCTGGCTGTGAAGTGAGTTCCTTGATCAGAAGCAATACTGTGTGAAATACCATGAGGGTGGATAAGACATTCTGTAAGTCCATACATAATGGTTTTGGCAGAAGCAGTATGTGGAGCAAATCCATAACCAAAATAAGTATCTACTTCAGTAAGGACAAAACATTGTCTTTTCCATGGAGGAAGTATTCCACCAAATAGTTCAGGGAATGATGCCATATTGGGTCAGTGTTGGTGTCTGTTCTTGGCTGATCTGGCACTCAGCAGCAGCTGTGGCCAGGTCAGCCTTGGTGAGTGGAAATCCATGTTGTCAAGCCCCATGCATACATTCCATTGCTGCCACCATTGTCTCTCTGTTCATGTACCCACTGGTCAATGAAAAGGATGGCTGGGGAGAGAGGCTGACAGTCCACGAACAGGTCATCCTATTTGATAAGTGAACTCCTTAGCTGGTCACCTTCTGATGAGCATTTACATAAGACACAGGTATCTTTGCATGCTTTGTCTATTTGGAGAGATTTATCCACATACTTCTTCCCCAGATGCCTTTCTCACCAATTTTCCAATCAGGCTCTTTCCAAGTCTCTGACCACCCGGCCAACTCATTGGCTTCAGCAATGATGAACAATCACACATCTGGCCATTTCTCCTTCCACACAAAATGTATGACCACATGTACTGCTCAAAGTTCTGCCCACTGTGAAGATTTTTCCTTGGCTGGTGTCTTTCAGGGTTGTCCCAAAAAGGAGTTGAAATGCTGCAGCTGTCCACTTCTGAGTGGTACCTGCATAACATGCAGAATTAGTAAACCAAGTCCTAGCCTTCTCTTCTTCAGTCAGTCAGCTGATTATAGGGCATTCCCAGGATGCTTAGGTACAGCATACAGCAATGTAATGGGATTAGGAACCATAGGAACTTGGGCAACTTCTTAATGAAACTTGTTGGTGCCTTCGGGACCTGCTAGGGCCTGATCATGTATATACCACTTCTGTGGTGCTCAGGGAAATATTCTGTTGTGTACATCCTGTTTCATGGCTTGGTGGGTCAGATAATACCCAACTCATGATGGGCAGCTAAGATTTTGTTCAGTTTATACAAGGCCCAATAGTAGGGTAAAAGCTGTCTTTCAAGGAAGTATAGTTGTCTGCAGCTGGTGGTAGAGCCTTGCTCCAAAATCCCAAAGTTTTCTTCTATGAGTCACCTATAAAGAGCCTGGCAAAGACTTCAAACAGCATCCCTATCTGCCACCAACACCTCAAGTAACCTTAAGTCTTCTGGATCATTTGGTCCAGGTGGTACAGCAGCCTGGACCTGTTGAGGAGCCTTTTCCTGTTTCAGGTCCCACTCAAAGCTTTCTGAGTCACTTGGTATATGGGCTGGAGTAGCACACCTAAGTGAGTAATGTGCTGTCTCCAGAATCCAAATAGATCCACTAAATGTTGTGCTTCTTTCTTGGTGGTGGGAAGGGCCAGGTGCAGTAACTTGTCCTTTACCTTAGATGCCCCACACCACTGAACTCCTAAGAATTTCACTGAGGTATAAGGTCTTTGAATTTGAGCTATATTTATTTCCCACCCTCTGATATAGACGTGTTACCAATAAGTCCAAAGTGGTTGCTACTTCCTACTCACATAGTGCAATCAGCTTAACAACGTCAGTATAGTTCAACAATGTGATATTTTATGGAAGAGACAGATGATCAAGATCCCTTCGAACTAAGTTATGACCCAGGGCTGGAGAGTTAACATATCCTTGGGGTAAGTCACAGTTACTGTCCTCAAGTATCAACAAAAGAATAGGGGCCTTAGCCAGGCATTATGGTGCAGGTCTGTAATCCCAGCACTCAAGAGGCAGCAGAGGCAAGAAAGTTCCAGGCCAGCCTTGGCTTCATAAGACAGTAAATAATCTAAACCCTCACAGAACAACCTCCCCATCAGTAGTGCCAATGCTGGAGACACAGCTCTGGCACCTGCAGCAGCTTGAGGAGTTCCTTCTCCAAGGAGGGACCTCTGCTCAGGGAAAGTCAAATCTTTGACAGGGTACAGAAAAGAATTTCAGGACAAGCCAGTATGAAGCAGAGTTGTGGTTTATTTTAAAAGAAAAAAAAAAAAGGAAATAGAGAGGTGCGTGCTGGGAGAAAAGTAAATCACACCCCCCCAAAAAAAACGAGGTGGTGGGATTAAGGGAGAAACATCCTTCATTTCTTTATAATAGTCATAGGTAGGATTTTGTTGATTTCCAAAATTATATCTTGAAAGGGTAAATGTAAATGCTGGAAGGGTTACAACTGTCACACACTAGACCACAGGGGTGCAGGTATTTGGGCTATCTTCACTGTGAATAAAAGTTAATTGTTTTGTTAGTGGGATTCCCAGAAAATATCCAGAACATTAAGGACATACTCAAGGCCATGTATACTCAGGCCTTAAACCTGGTTTATTGCTACCTTAACCTTCTTTTTAGGTTTTTTGTTTGTTTTGCTAAAGGGTCTCACTACATACGTAGGCTTGGCTAGCTTAGAACTTGCTAGGTAGATCAGGTTGGCCTCCAATACAGAGATCAGCCTGTCTTGGCCTCTGAGTGCTAGGATTCAAGGTGTGCACCATCATGGCCAGTTTTTTAACCTTCTTTTTTTGGGAATACTTCTATATGAAAGAAATATTGCCTGCATGGAGGCAACCTTTAGAACAAATATTAGTAGTAACTGTCCTGGAATTCTCAAATTTCAGCCACACTTTAGAGTGAAAGCTCCCTTCTCTCTACATAATCTTCTCTGTGGATCCTATCTCATCCCCAGTCATACAGAGGGAGTGAGGTAGCTCCAGACATGGTGGGACTAGCTGAATCCTGCATTTTAGGCTGATTCTAGCAGGAACAGGATTTGAGAAACACCCATAAACTCAGGCCTCCACGTGCACATCTGCACTCACCCATAGGCACAGAAACACACCACATACACACACACACACACACACACACACACACACACACAAGGAGAGAGAGAAAGAGAGAGAGAACAGTAGAAAATCCAGCTTATCTCACAGAATATTTCCTTGAGCACCTCCTGTTCTATAATACTGGGCTCTGTAAGAAAAGATTTGGGTGCACAGGCCAGAGTATCATATCAATTCAGAAAGGAAAGTCATGTTTGGAAAACACCAAACTAAATTAGATTCAGGCTTCAAAGAGGCACAAGCAAGACAAGACACAGAGAAGAAGGGTCCTTAGTATGAGCAGAGGGCAGCTGGGGGACAAGAAAAGCATCCTTGGTGTGAAGACATTTAAATGTCCCCCAAGGTCATCAGAGATAGATAGGGAGACTACAGGCAGTTAAGAGTCCAGGAAGGTCTAAGAGAAGACCTGCTAGCTCCACTAAGTGTTAGTAGGTTCTTATTACCATCAGAAAGAATTCAGAGATGAGAAAAGGAAAGAGAAGACGGTTTTATTACAGAGCAAAAGTACACACAGCAGGGAGTGAGGACTTCTCAAGCCTTATGCACAGGCTCTTCTTGGTGGCCTTATTTTAAACTATTTTGACTAGGGCCACTTGACAAGGAACATTTCATTTCTTTGTCACATCAGGGTGCACAGCAAAAGACCAAGCACGGATGTCCACAATTAAAAGGTTTTTTGTTTGTTTGTTTTTTCAATACAAGCTCGATTTGATGTTTATGGATCCCATATCAATATCAAACTGTTACCTGAATCTGGAGGTTCTACTACAGTCACTTCTATCAAAAAAGTCAAGAGATAGCAAAAAGAAATGGGTTTTGTTTACAGTTTTCATCAGAACTGGGGAAGTATGGGGGTAGGGGGATGTTCTTGTCTCCCCACTTTTCCTATAGCAGTGTTACAGTCTACAGAAAAGAAGAAACAAAAGTCAGGAAACAAGTATATATATGCATGTGTAGACTTAATTGTGAAATAAACAAACCAATGAGCCATCTTTTCTGACAGGGGGCTGTTCTAGTGGGCTTCAGGCTATTCTCATCTCCAACACTGGACTGCCTGGAGAGGCTGAAATTCTTCAGAGTTCACGATACACTATGATAGACACTGTATGGTTTATGAGATGTATTTCCATCTTTTACACCTCTTGCTTTTCTCTGAGTTCTTCCCATTGGCCCCTTCTTGCTCCCTGGTCAGTCCCTATGTCACAGGATCAGAGATGAGAACACAGGGATTGGCAGTGGAGATGAGGCTGGAAAGGTGTGTCAGGCTGATTAAGATGGTTTCACAGCCTTCAATTAGGAGTGTGGTCCTGCCTTGCAGACCTAGGAAGCCCCAGTTAATGACTTATAGGCCTGAGGGCACTACTAAGTCATGGATGGTATTCTGTAAGTCAGAGAGGAACTAGCAAAAGCTGCAAAACCATGGACTGAAGCCATAAGTGAGTAGATTTCTCCTCACTGATCAGGAAGTGACATTGTACACCTGCACATGGTATGACTATCCTACCAACCATGACCTAAAGACCAGCAAAAGTGTGGTGTGTCCTATATGCTCTATCACCTTTGCCGTGGTCAAAACCAGCAGGCTTTTTAAAGAACAGTTTGCCAAAACAATGGATAAGTACGAAATATCCCCTTTTTTTAAAGAAAAGGAAAGAAAGAAACAACATAAGCAAATTAGCTAAAAAGAGTTCTATTCACTTCCTGGTGATCTTAAGAGCAGATGCCATTTAGGTGCGGCTGTATTACCAACATGGATGTAACAGTTAAGTTCTGAAAATTCAGTCTGCTGAAGATTGCAAAACCCTAGATTCACATATCTTAATCCGAGTTTTAGATTCTCAGAATGTCACACATCATATATGCTAGAAAAGGCCTCTGGGAGAAGAACCTGTCAGTTCCAGAAAAGAATTTCCTTCCATTTCACCTGCAGCACCAAATCTGAAATAGTAGGATTGAACACAAGCAATCTATAGCTGCACTGTAATGAACAACGGGTCTACTCCTCACTCTGTAAACTATCTCAGACAGCCCGAGCACTGCACATATTCACCTCAGATAAGCAACAGGAAGTGTAAACTGGTACTCTAAATGAAAGAGTCCAGGTATCCAACTTTCTAAAAATAATTAGAAAAAAAAAATCATAGCAATTCTTTTCATACTCCTGAGACTATATTTCATAGGTATCTGTATAAATAAAAATTCACTTCAAACATGTAATATACAATACAAACTAATGAATTGCATTACAAGTCCTTACACATCCCAAACACTTGAATAATACAAATATACATTTTTATAAGAGTGAAAAATATAGCAAGCAAAATAACTTATGACTGTATCAGAGTAGCTGCTGGTGCACAGACCTGAATCTACAGGAACAAGTACAATGAAAACGAGCACTGAGGTCACCATGTAAGACAATAATCCTTCAAAGGACATTAAAGACTTGATTTTCATAACCTTTTTGTATTTTGACTCTGTAATAAATATGTAATAAATATCTGTAATAGATGTGTATGTCGATAGCTCATCTCTCTCCATTGGAAAGTCTTTCTCTGGAGTCATAGTGTCTTAGAGGTATCCCTGGAGGTGGGGAGTTGGGATTTTGCAACAAGTCCACTAACAAAGCCATTTTAGCATCTATGTGCTCCTGGAGCTGATAGATCCTCTCATCAATGTGGTCCATAAGCTTCTTTTCCATCAGTTCCATGTTTTTAGAAAGAATCTTTTCCAAGTAGGAGCAAATAGGCTGCTCTTCCATCCTAAAAATAAAAATTTTAAGTATATCAATTTGCTCATTTATGATGACAAAAACAACAAACTGAGCCAGCCAAAGAGCAGCCAAGATACACTACTGGCATTGGTCTCTACAACTCTACCCTCCCCACGGCACATTTTCGCCTCTAAAACCTACAACAGTGGCCACAGTCCTAAATGCACAACACTCTTCTACTAATTGCTTTGCAAAGTTAGATAACTGAGAACAATATAAAGCAAAGACAATTAGGAACAATCTGAGACTGTGGCTCTGTTGCTTGAGTATTTTTCTAGCATCAAGAAGCCTTGGGTTTAGCCAGGTGCTGGTGGTACACACCTTTAATGCCAGCACTCAGGAGGCAGAGGCAGAGGCAGGCGGATTTATGTGAGTTTGAGGCCAGCCTGATCTACAGAGTGAGTGCCAGGACAGGCTCCAAAGCTACACAAAGAAACCCTGTCTCAAAAAAACCAAAACAAACAAACAAAAAAAACAAAGTCTTGGATTGAATTCCTAGCACTGCATAAGACCAGATGAGGTAAGGGAGACAGCTCAGTCACTAAAAAACTGCTTTGCAAGCATGAAGACCCAAGCTAGATTCTCAGAATAAAAATTTGAAACTAAGATTAAAATATTGAAAGCTGGCACTGGGAAGATGGCTCAGTTTGGAAAGACTGCCATTCAAGTATGAAGACGTGAGTTCATATCCCCAGTTTCTAAGAAACCTGGTGCTGTGGCTTGTACCTATCTATAATCCTCATGCTGGGGAAGCAGAGAGATGATGCCTGACTAGCCAGTTAACCTTGCCAAATCAGGGCGCCCCAGAGACAGTAAGAAACCCTGTCTCAAAAACTAAGGTAGGACATGATTGAGGAACACACCCAAAACTGACCTCTCCCCTCCACCCATATTTGCACACACTTGCATGTACACCCTCACACATGAACACATACTACATAAATTCACATATACATGGCAAGCATGATAGTCTGAACTTAAAATCCCAGCACTGTGTATGTAAAGACAAAAGATAAAAGGATCTCAGTGTTTTGCTCAGTACTGTTTTAAATGCTGAATTTTGTGATTTTTTTTATATGTTAGAACAAGTCATTTGTTGAATTTCCTTCCAGTTTATATTTAAGTCATCTTAACAGGGTCTTCTATAGCATAAGTTTGATATTTTGCTGGGGTCTACACATCATTTTTTGGTTTTGGTGGTATATCTAAGCCCTTTTTCCCTAAGTCCCCAGGAGTTTCTCCTGTATATTAGAAAGTTTTAGTTTACTTTTTGCTGTACGACCCATTTGTGTTCATTTTCATAGAAGGTGTGAGGTTTATGTCATGGTTTTTTTTTTTTTTTTTGCCTGTGGATATCTCATTGGCTTAGCACCACCTTTAAGACTGCTCTTCCTCAACTGCAATGCTGGCAAGCCACCTCTGTGCTTCTGTCCTGCCCACCTGCCTGCCCCACTCCCTGCTAGTGACAGGCCTGATGCTACAGCTCTACCATGTCCTGAAATATGAAATGATTTCTCTTGCTTTATTCTTTTTTTTTTAAGTGAGAAGTTTTATTAGAAGTGGAGGGAGGGGGAAAGGAAAGAGAAAAGAGGTAAAGAGGCAGAGAGACAGAGAGAAGAGGGAGACAGGACAAGTCCTGCCTGCCCAGGAGAACAGTCCTCTTGCTTTATTCTTTTTAAACTTGAAGCACACATATCAATTAGGGGAATACTGTTGCTTTTACTATGTAAAATCTATGAACATGGCATGTTTTTGCACTATTTTAGACCTTTTCAAATTTTCTTCTATCAATATTTTATAATGTTCAGTTCATAGTTCTATTTTGTCAACGATGTTTAATTATTTTAGATATTTTAAAATGTATTTACATATACTTTATGTACTTCAAATTATTTAGAATCTAGTTGGGGTGCCAGGGTAACAGTGGCTTCATAAAATTAGAAGTCTTTTTTCCCTTTGATTATCTGGATTATGAAAAAAACAAAAACAAAACAAGAAACAGTGCTCTCTAAATGTCTGGCAGAATTCTCCAGTGGAACCATCTAGGCCAGATTTTTTTTTCATGAATATTCTGTGTTAGTTGGCTTTCCCATCACTGTGACTACATCTGAGAATAAACTTCAGCTTTACTTGGCTCCTGGTTTCAGTTTTCAGTCCACAGCTTGCTTTCTCCATTGCTGTGGGCACAAGGTGGAGTGGAATGTATAGGATGAGACATTCTCCAAACAATACTAACAAAATACGACTCTGTAAGTGGAATGCCTTATGATCCAATCATCACTCAATGACCGGATCCACTAAGTGGAAATCAACTCTTCAATGGGGGGTGAGGGTGGGACACACACAAACACACACACCACATCCAAACTTTAATACCCTTCCATTACAAATTCAGTATTATTAGTGGCTATAGGGTCATTCCATTATCTATTTTGTGTTGTGTTCTGTAGCTTATGGTTTTTGAAAAGGGTAATCCATTTCCTCTAAGTTATTTGTGAGCATGAAGTTACTTCCACTTCCCCTTACTACCAAGGCTCTGTAGTGCTGCTATTCTCTACTGCATCTTACACTGGCAGTTTGTATCTTCTTCTCCCTTACTTTCTAGTCTTGTTAGAAGCCCATCTGAAATTTTCAAAGAATCACCTTTCTATTTCATTATTTTCTTATTGTTTTCCTGTTCTTATGAACCTCCTCCTTTGGCTTCCTGAATGCTGAAACTGCAGGTTCCTGCCACCATTGGACTTAGAACTACTCAGACCATATTGTTTAATTTTTAAATTTTCTATTATTTTATGTGTATGAGTGTTTTCCATGTATGTATACATATGTGCCATGTGCATGCCTAGTGCCCACGGAGGTTAGGGGAGGGCACTAGAACAATTGGGGCTAGAGTTCCAGGTGGTTGTAAGCCATGTGAGTGCTGGAAATTAAACCAACAAATGTTCTTAACTGCTGAGCCATCTCTCCAGCTCTTATTTCATTTTTTAGGTAGTAGTTTGTACCACTGTCCTCACAGCCATCTTCACTAAGGCAGCATATGATGCTATAGACCCTTGGCATACTTCTTTAGATACAGTCCACAAACTTTCATCTCTGCACTTTTACTTGGCTTTATGTATTTTAAAAAATATTTCTGTTCAGACTTTTTTGTGTGTGATGTGTATGTTGTATGCATGTGTACCTGTTCACATGGATGCATATGTACATGTATACATGAGCTTGTAGAGCAGAAGGCTGACATCTGGTGCTTACTTTTGTCACTCTATTTGTTGAGACAGAGTCTCTCACAGAGCTCACTGATTTAGACTAGCTGGCTAGCAAGACCCAGGAGTCCTCTTGTCTGAGCCTCCCAGCACCCAGATTTTAGGTATACACCACTACACTCAGGTTTTTTGTTTAGTTTTGTATTTCAAGACAGTGTTTCTCTGTATAACAGTCTTGGCTGTCCTGGAACTCTCTCTGTAGACCAGGCTGGCCTCAAACTCACTGAGATCCACCCAAGTGCTGGGATTAAAGGCATGTGCCCTCACCACATGGCTTGCTTTTGTTTTTTAAACAGGGGTACTAACATTTGAAACTCAGGTCCTCATGCTTGCATAGCAAGCACTTTAACAACTGAACCATTTCTCCAACTCCTAGACTTCTTCAATCGGACAAACTGTATTGTTTAATCATCAAGTTTTTGGAAATTTTCCTGTCTTTCCATTACTGTTAAATGATTTCTTATCTTTCTTTATGGTCAGAGAAAATACTATCATTTCAGTCCTCTTAAATTTTGTGAGGCTTCTTTATGACTTGAGATATAATCTATTTTGGTGACTCTTCCACAGACATAAAAAAAAAAAAAAACTATATTCTAATATTGTCAGTAGAAATTAGTATAAACGCTGATGTAATCATGTTGGCGTTTGGTGATGTTTTCTTCCAAACTATTCCAAGTACCATTTTCAGATGTGAACTTTAAACTTAGAAGATTGACCAGTAGAAGAAAATAGTTAATCTGAACTGTGACCAGAGTTCTGTATTTCAGACTAGAACACTATTTTGACAAACTGTATCTGTGAAAAGAATTAGGAATATGCTACTTGGCAACATCCTAATCAAACAAATACTGCACAGATAACAGATTGAGACCAGAGGAGCTTCTACACTATAAATAATTCCCATCCCACTATAGTTTTTGACTTTAAACATAGCCTGGAACAAACACAAGCTACAAAGGTAAATTATTACAATGACATGCATACCACACCTAGTCAAAAATTGTAAATTCTCACAATTTCTCCAAAATCATGCACATAGCTTTCTATTGCAACCCTGTTGATGGCTGTTCTCTTCCACAAATGCCTGAAACTGTGTGCAACACCAAATCTAGACATTCCCTTTAGTACAATCCACTCTATTCTATTCCTAGTTAAGTGTGTCAATGATGAACTATAAATGCTGGAAACAGCTCTTTTGTCAGGTAGTGCATCTGAGGCAAGTCTGTTTCCCTTCATCGGACTTTCCCACCTACCAAATCTCAACTCTATTTGCTTTAAAATAAAATACTTACGAAACACCGACAATGCTCTCTCGGGGCTTGGAGATGTTTTCTTGCCACCTGGCATTATGTCCCACTCGGAGATGGTTGACCTGACTACATAAATTCTGGAGAAAAGGCAGCAACTCAGAATTGGGCACGTTTGAGTTGCCACTTGCCTTCTTTGGTAAGAAAGAAGACACTGCGTTTTTAAGATCATTTTCAAGAAGGGAATGATTTTGTGGCACAAGGTGACACTCATCATGGTTAGTGGTATTTCCTTCTCCAGGTGGCTGTGTGCCTTTATCAATAAGAGCCTTTAAATTTTCAGTGATGGCTGAAGGTGTCAATCCAGTTCTAAAAGGAAAAGGTGTAGAGGATGCCTTGTCTACAACTCCTGAAGAAGGTGAAGACTGCAGTGCAATTAGATGCTTGTGTCCTGTGGTTCCCAGCACTGACTGAAGCTGATCTCCAATGGGAAGACGATTCTGAGCAAGGAAAGTAAAAGGAAAATATTAAAGAGTGAAGGCTGAATTTTGAGGTGGTTGATAGAAGTCAGGAACTATGCACTCTTCATTGATCCCCAATGCATCCCCATGAAGAAAGCTGTTACTGCTCAGTGTTAAGGAAAAGAAAACAAGGTGAAAAGTTCCTGCCCATGGAAACTAGACAGTATGTGGCAGGGCTGGGACATAAACCTAAACTTCTTTTTATCATTTCACGGTAGCTTTTCCTAAAGAACATACCCAAATATATACTACTATGATAGTAAAATACACTAACAGGCTGTATTGTTTTCACTACTAAAGGCTTCCTTATGGCAGTAACATATAAGATTAGTCACAATAGTTAATCATTTTCTTTTAGATTTGCTGATGTTTTATTTTCATGTATATGTGTGTATTCCTGAGAGTATGTATATGCACCAGGTACATGGAGGTACCCAGAGGGGCAAGGAGAAGGTGTTGGCCTCTGGAACTGGAGTTACAAGCAGTTATGAGCCACCTGATGTTGATGCTGGAGACTGGACCCAGGGCATCTACAAGAACAGCAAGTACTCTTGACTATTGAACAATCTCTCTAGCCCCCATCAATTATCTTCTCAAAATTCAACATAAAATGCCTGTCCATTTTCAATATATTATAAACTATTCATTTCACCTGGTCATATCTTTTGCAATGAGTTTTCATGGAGTTACATGGTGGACAGTTACACTACAGAAGTAGATGTTCTATAGATTTGTGACATTTTTGATGCCTAAAATAACCTACCCTTAGCTGTGTTTGCTTTAATAATTCTAAGATAATAAGAGTTATATTCTGGGGCCACACCTAAGCTCATAAGAAGATTCTGCATTATCTAAAAGAGAAGGGGAACTACTTCCATATTTTGCCTTTCAGTTTTTTCAATAAAGAAAAGTAAAATGATCTCTAGTCGAATGAACACTACTAAGGTAAATGATTAGTTTAACTCTAAAATCTAGATGTAAACCAGGGACTATCACCTCCCATTATGGCTGGTCAACAGCTTTTGAGAGATGGGTTCAAAAAGTAATCACCAAGATTAGTTGAAGAAACTATGTCAATATATTCATCCAAATACTCTAAATATTATCACTAGGCCAAGCCAGATCTGCAAGGCATTTATCCAACAAGCTTTTACCTGAAATCTCCTTTGTGCTAGTTTCATTTCAAGCATAAGAAATATATCAATGAGCAAACCAAATTAAAATTCCTGACCTCACATGGAGCCTACATGATACATATGCAGGGGGTGCCCTAAGGGAGGGAAAAAGAGAATATATCATAGGATGGATATGATGATAAATACTTTAAAGGGAAAAAAACCAGGGAGGAAAGGAGGATAATGGCCAAGGAAGTAGAGGTATATAGGAAGGGGTATCTATAATAGACAGTCTCAATCTAACTTCTTTCACTGAACTTCATCTTTTAAAAGGCTCTTTGTAGATAAATGTTAGCCTGCTGTCAATTTATTCTGTTCTACTGAATGCCAGTTTTGAATAAACCTTAATGTATTTCTGAAACAAGAAAAATCAAATAATGATTATAACATTTGACCATCTTTCCTTCAGCTTAAAGGATCTTTATTCAGTCATAATGAAAATGCCATTTCTCTATAATAGCTCAAAAATGTACACTAGGGAATTGAAAAATATATAATAACAGGAATGGTATTTATACTATAGTCCATGTCAAAATTATGGGTTGCCATTAGGTTAGCAGAAAAAAATTAGATAATCATAAATATAAGAGCATTTGCTAAAGGCATTCCTTTTTAACAGATATATACTGTCTAGTTATCTGTAAGAAATTCACTGATTAAAAAAATTAGCCAGCAGAAACATCAAGTGCAGTAACAGAAAACAAATTCCAGAATCTCTGTCTACAAGGTACATGATAGTAACCCATCATTGTGGCTGTCCCTTCCATACAGAGAAAACTCAAGGATACACCACAAACTGTCCCCACGGCAACCTCTGAGGAAGAGAATAACAACAGCAAGAACACTTGTTTTTTATCTAATAATTTTCTTTGAGTGAAACTCATGCAATAAAAGACTTATTATTAATAGAATAAAACCAGAAAAAAAAGTGTAATTTTTTCCCGTCATGTTTTTGAAAGACAAAAATCAGTGAGATGATTATATGTAATTCATCACTCTCCTTTAATCATTTCCAAAATCCTTCCATAATTGTTTTATTGCTTTTTTACATCTTCTACTAAAAGATTTTATAATACACATAAACTTTGCCCCTGAAGTCACCATTGAAAATACTGATTCCTGAAATTCACCCTGTCAGATTTAGTAGGTAACAAGCAAGGGCCTGGAGTTAATCTTCTGAAGACATTACAAAGACTTTTGCATCCCATGGAACATACTTTAAGAAAAATCAGAGCAGCCAGCCACAGTAGTGCATACCTTTAATGCTAGCAGTTGGGAGGCAGTGGCAGGAGGACCTCTGTGGATGTGAGGTCAGTCTGGTCTACAAAGTGAGTTTCAGAACAGCCTGGACTACATAGAGAGACTCTGCCTAAAACAAATCGAAAAGAAAAAGAAATATCAAACTGCCATAATTCCTAGAAAGGGACAAACCTTAAAAGCTGAGAAATATTTCCTTTATCCTCAATTTTCCTTTATATATCCACCTTCTAATTTCCTCTTTATGTCTAAAATTCTTGGAAAAAAAAAAACCTGTTAGCATTCAATAACTCCCAAACCCAGCTACTACTAATCCTCCATAATGTGTTTTATATCCTAATGTTATTTAAACTCACTCCCTGAAGCACTCGAAGAAGTATTTATATAAGCCACATACACATAGTACAATAAACAAAACAGACAACTCTCTGATTGCACTTTTAAACCCAACACTCAGCATTCTCACACTTTAGTGAGAAAAACAATAACTAAAAAATATATAACAAAGTGGTCAGAAGGGTGCAAATGAAACTGTGATAATGATTAAGAGGGATGTGCTACTAAGAATTGTGTGACAGGGAATATCTAATTAAGACTATAGTGGTTAAGGTGAAATTAGAGTAAGAGAATAGTACAATATCACAGGAGAAGAATTCTAGCCAAAGAAAACAAAACAAAGAATTCAAACAATTGAATACATAGGCCCAGAGGTAGCAACATGTAAGGAATAGGAACATCAGAATGTCTGGAAAAGGGATCCAAGCAGCCATAGCCAAGACTGTCACTTGTGTTAAAATGCTTTTAAAGGTTAAAACCCTCAATTCTCCTGGTTCTCTTTCCTCTGCCCATACCCCAGGACTGCCCTGACTCCAGCAATGAAACCATGCAACATTTACAAATTTTTGCAGTATTTGCCTTAAATTTCCACATCAATACTGTGGTCTTTACAATGGTATCACTTAAATTTTGTAAAAGAGAATTTCATTAGTTAAAAATATGTGGCTGACCTTGCTGAGGGAAACAGAACTACTGAGAACAACAGCTTAGCTTCAGCTAACCTGACATTAAAACCTCTCTTTGATCACACCAGTGCCTTCTGTTCTTCTGGTGCCTCCTTCCTCTCCCCATATTTTGCTAGATTATAGCTTCTCTCCAAGAGTCTTTCTTTCTAGTTTCAGCCTCTCTGTTCACAGGGTTCCTACTGTGGGTACATCACCCAAACCTCCCTTTTAGACAGCTACCTCCTTCTCTCCTGATCCTGTCTACAAATGCTAAAATATCCTTCCAGGCAATCCCTGTTCACAGCTATATTTGATATTCCCCAAATTAGACTCCTTTTACCAAGTGTCCTCATCCCATTGGCTCCATCTATATTTCTGGTAATGCCATCCTCAAAGCCTCAATTTCTCATGTGACTTTATTTTTCTCCTTTAATTAATGGTATAGTCCCAATGACTCTATGCTTCATGGTTTATTAATCTCCCAACCTAGTATCATGTTACAACATTTAGCCTAGACTCCATCACCTCTTAGCTGGGTGAGGGAAATCACATACTGCTGGTTTCTCTGTTATAGTCTTACTTTCCTTTGACTTACCTTCCACATTAATAGTGGAATAAAATCTCTTTAAAAATAGGCCAAAGACATTTACAAACTTAAATGAACTCTCTATGTGCTATATCTCCATGATCGAGTATGAATCTTTAAATTTCTACTGTCTACTCACCACCTTTCATTTCTCAGCTAGATCCTACTCCTTCTAGCACTGAAGATCTTATCCATTACTAGCATCTCTCTAAAGTAACCAAGCTCTAGATGGACCTGACTAACTCCACCTTCCTCTTTAACAGCCCAGATGAAATGCCTCTTATTTCAGTATACCTCCCTTAATCTCATCACTCCCCAGATAGAAAGCATAAAGACTGGCTACACACTATCTGATCACCTTTATTCCTTCAAAAGGGAGCAAGTCAGAGTCTTGTTCTCTGCCAAATGAACACATAAAATGAATTCGGGGAAAACTGAAGCTATGCAGTTAGAACATTTGTAGAAAGGCAAGTCTACAAAATGTGACTTTTTTTAAAAATTAAAAATAGATGACAGTTAAAACAATAGTAGAAACTAAGAGAAAAAATTAATATACTATATTGTCATATTAAAGGTCAGTATTAAAAATGTGGAGTTTTTTGGAGGGGCACTGTGTGTGTGTGTGTGTGTGTGTGTGTGTGTGTGTGTGTGTGTGTGTGTGTATTTGGAAGCAGGGGAGCTATGAAGTCAGAGGATTTACTCAAGTTCTCATCTTCCACCTCTTTTGAACAAGGTCTAAACCCACTGGTATATACCAGACTAACTGGCCTGTGAACATCAGGCCTTCACCTCCCATCTTTTTGTAGGAATACAGAAATTACAGACACATTTAATAATGCCTCCTGTTTTTACATGGACTCTATGAATCCAAACTCAGGTGCTCAGGCTTGCACAGCAAGTCTTTTACCGACTGAACCATCTCCCCAAACCAGCATTTTAAAATTTAACAAAATACATCTTTACTTGCCTGCTGCTGAAACCTAATCATATTCATCAGCTGCTGAGCTCCAGGAGATAACTTTGACCCCATGGACTCCATTATGGTTTGGATACTGTCAAGGTCTATCCGTGATCCTAGAGCAGAAGAGCTTGGTGAAGGATTTGCTGACCTTGGTCTCACGTGCACCACAACTTTACTGATGAGCACACACTGCTTTTCACCGAAGGACAGCAACTATCATGAAACAAAAACATTCCAGGGAATGACAGTGGTATTAAAAACAACCATCACTTAAGATGACTTCTTAATATTACCAAAGCAAGACAGGGCATTCAAGAGTCTAAAATTAACTTCAAGTGCATTTAAAGTTTTCTTTACAGTAGTCAAACTTAGAAAATAAATTCCAATGTATCATGAGGCAAATATCAACTATTTAAATATAGAAATCCTTCCCAAGCCATAAAATACACATAAAGAACATGAAATCTTTGTTTACTTGGTCTAAGGAATTAAAAACAAGCCACAGCTGGCTGTGGGTATAGCTTGGTAGTAGAGCACTTGACTAGCATGCTCAAGGGCCCAGGTCTGAATCCTCTGTATCCTAAGAGCCCTCAATCCTAGCATTCCCCAGTTGGCATTAATATTATTTAATATAAAATAAAACTGTCCAGATGCCCATACAGCATTTGTCTAAATCCTACCCATTCTTCAGTCTTTTGTAGTTTAGAAATGAAGGGATGTGATCCCAGAACTACTTAACACGTAATAACTGGTGGTTTACATAAAAAGTGGAGTTCGGGGTGAGTTTCTAACAGGGTGAAGGATACTTAGTGGCGTAAGTCAAGCTTTGGAACCCAGCTCTCCTGGCTTTTATTACCACAGATTTTCCATTTTTGTTTATGGTGTCTTCTCACTCACTCTGGGGTACTGAGAGAATAGTAACCAGGGTCTCATTCATGCTAGGTCAGTGCTCGACACTAAGCCGTATTCCCACCACTATGACAGTTTAGGCTGTGCATGTTCCTGAACCAAAAGACACGTCATGTGTGGCATAAAGGGAAGGGCTTTAAATCAGACACACCTGAGTTCAAATTTTGAATTTTTCTATTTCATAACCTGCGCAACCATAGGCAAATGCTAAGACTAAACCAGAGGATGGTAAGATAACTTTGCATGGAGGTTTTTGTGCCAAAATAGCCACTAAGTATCACTAAGTGCTAAGAATAATGAATTAGGAACATTTACACAAGCTTTCACACATGCCAGAGGGATTCCCTAATTGAAAACTGTTCAGATTAACACATGCTCCACAGAACAGTCACAAAAATTATTCACTTTGAAAGATACATAGACCCCTGTCACAAAGACACAGGTCAATAAAAAAACAGGCTCTATAAACACTGAGTGTGATACCAAATATATGTCAGTCCTCAACAGTTAAGTAAATGCTCATTAAATTTATATTCTACCTCATTATTACTTCCCTTACTGGATGGTCTGGGATTCACTACATAGACCTAGCTGAGTGTGTGACACCATACTGGGCCCCACTGTCTCCTTTATATTGTATAATCCCAAGAGCCTTTCTCATCATTGACTACAGTATATTTTTGTCTGTTTGTATTTTCAGATAGGGTCTCTCTATGTAGCCATACCTGTCCTAGACCTTGCTGTGTAGATTAGGCTGGCCTTGAACTCATAGAGATCCACCTGCCTCTACCTCTGTCTCCCAAGTCCTGGGATTAAAGGTCTGTACCACTGGTGACCAGAGACTACAGTCTATATAAAATTTATATAATCAGTAAATCTGATTATCATCTGTCTTGTCCCACTAAAATATAAGCAACATGGAGGCTGGAGGCTGGCACTTCAATTTTCAATTCATATCCCTAAATGCCTAGTATACTATCTGTTATCAACAAGTACTAAATATCCACTAGATAATTTAAATCACTTGATTTAAATGCCTGCACAAGCTATTAGTTTATTCCACTTAAACTGACATTGGAATAACCAGTTCTGAGCTGCTCAATGAAAGTCTTTTTTTTTTTTTTCTTGTCTTACTGTCTTCTATGATTGTAAGTACATAATTTCCCAGATAAAAAGAACCCAAGAATTTTGTTTCTAGGGCTCATTAATTTTCCTCATGAAGTAGGTAGGTCCAGATAGTTAAGAAAGGTAGCATTGGCCAAAGCTCTCGTTGTCAACAGAGCTGAATTAGTATTTATTTCTTAAGTTTTCCAACTCAGTATCTATCTCTAAACTCTGACATCATCATTAATGTTTATCTTAAGAATATTTTTCTGGCTAAGGACAACAGTTCAAATTCCTTAAAATTTCTGGCTCTTATTTGAACTTTTCCTTCATTCTTTTCATATAGGGCCAGTTGTGCTCCTACCTTTTGTGGTTTTATACAAAGATTTTTAAAATGTTCTTAGCTGAGTTTCACAAGGCTTCAAAATATAGTACTATACTATATTAACAAAACATTTTCTGTAACTAATAAATTACCCCATTTAAATGATAACCCTTTACAAGCTAACTAAGCATTTCTGGGGACCACATTGGACTAATCGTACTGCCAAACCATGAGAAAATAAGTATGTAAGTATGTATAGAACAGAAACAACTTGATTAACTTTAAATCTTAAAATTTAGTGGTGACTTACCTTTATTTTACAAGCATGTGTGGGAGATTCCAATTTTAGGAATTTTTTGTACAACAGAATCTTTTCATGTTCACTAAAATGAAAGAATTCATTTTTAACAGCCAATGATTGTAAGCATTAATTAATATTTAAGAACAAAAGTTTCCTGGTGTTCCCTTTTCCTGGTCAAGTACAGGGAGTAAGAGGTTTCTGACTGTGCTGTACTGTTTTGAGGAGCTGTATCTCCCACTTAGCAGCTCTCTGAGAAAACTAAACACAGTGGCACAAGGCATATTTAAAAGTCTGTAAACACGACTATTATTTCCAACATACACAGGACATAAAGAGTTTAGATTATATTAAACATAGATTTGGGCAGAACTTTGTAAAAAAGACTAGGAAAAAAATCACAAATTAAAAAAAAATCACAAATTATCCATCTTAAAATAGGTTAATGAGCACATACTGATATGACAGTCATATATCATTTATAAAGTGCTTTATAAATGATATATCCATAATATATATATATATATATACATATATATATATGTAGACATATGTATATTTATAAGGAGCATATATCATTGATATATCATTTATAGGGAGCTTTCTATAAGGGAATATATTCAGAGGTTCAGAATGTCTAATTGTTGTAAAACAGACCCCACTGAGTTAAATGAGAGAAACAAGAATACTTTCTGTGTGTTTGTTTTTTGAGACAGGGTTTCTTCTGTGTAACAGCCCTGGCTCTCCTGGAACTTGCTTTGTAGACCAGACTGGCCTCAAATTCACTGAGATTCACCTTAAAGACATGCGCCACACACCCAGTTGAGAAACAAGAATACTTACCAGGACTTTAGTCTAATAAAACTCTTCCACTAATTACCAGTGACCTACCAATTCACTTCCAGTTAATTAGCCCTAAATTTCCATATTTATAAGACCACTCATCTGCCCTGTCTTTTGAATTTTGAAGGCCTGGTGGTCTAACCTATACCTACTGGTATGTTTTTTAACTTCTCTCCCCTAAAAAGACAGATTCAGATGAATTATTTCACATGGACAAGTCACAAACCTGTCATCCAGGGCAGTGCAGACATTCTTGCCCCTACTGGTTCCACAATACTCCTCTCCCAGGTATACTTCCATGTTTCTTGCTGAACTCAGAATGCCAACTGAAAGGATCTCTTCGCCCCCATTAGGCCCACATTTCAGGTAAAGGAAGCAGGGGTTTTCATCTCGGGGACTCAGGTTGTTCTTCAGACTCACCAGATCCGAGCTGAAAAGAAAATTGATGGAACATCATACAGGGAACTTTTCTGAATAGAACCATAACCCATCTCTTCAAACTCACTCCCATTTGTTCTGAAGACCGAGAACCTTCCCCAACACCCACAGACGCGCCAAGCTTAATTCATAAGGCATAGAGGCTTTCCCAGACCGTGGCCGTTCTACTCAAAGCTCTAATTCATTCGCAGTTCAATTAAAAGCGTTTACAGTGTGTAAAGAAAAAACAAGTTGCCGTGGTTCTTTATAGCTGGACTTGTTCTGCTCCTGTACCCCTGAAGAAAGTTGGCTGGTTTCGGGGGTGGGGGTCGAGGAGGATTCTAACAGAGCCTGTGGGGGGTGTCCCTGCTGACCCTAGGATCCTGAACCCGAGCTTCCAGGTCTCTCCTGCCCAGCGCTCAGCACTTGCCCGCAGCCTCGCCCACCTCCCGGTACCGCTCCCTCAGCCCACCCCGGCTGGCCTCGCTCGCTCGCCTCCCGTGCTCCTCCCGGCTTCTCAGCAGCGTGGTTGTCACCCGGTCCCGGCCCGGCGCACCCTAGAGCTGGCGGTGCCAACAGCTGCTCGAAGTTCAAGTCTTGGGCACCTGGCCCAATCCGGGTAAGGAGGCTTTGGGTCAGCGACCCGCACGCCGCGACCCAGGACGAGGTGAGCGTCGGGCCGTGGTCCAGCCCCGGATCTTCGATCGCGGTCTCCATTCTGTCTCCTCCAACCCAAGCAGCGCCGGAACCTCTTTCGCGGAGCTTGCGTTTCCTTCAGTGCCGAGCGGAGGTGAAGGTTCAGTACTACTTCCGGTTCTTTTTTTTTTTCCCCCTTCAAATCCCGGGAAACCAACCATCATAGATGCGCGTGCGCATATCGCAAGACTTCTTTAAGTTTGTTCAAAATCTTCGCGGGAGGAGATTGAGGACGTCTGGTGACTTCTTCGCTCCCGTCGCAGGGGTCGTGCGCATGCGCGATACTCTGCACGCGAAAACGAAGAGGTTTATTTGAACGTTGACTATGGTGACCCAGCCAGCGGACCAGCGATGGTTTGGGGTCGGACAGGGTGGTTGGGGCCCTGAGGGTAGTCCCAGAGCAGATAGGTGCAGTCTCCTTGGTTTAAGCCACTTTAAGACCAGTTCCCGAGGATGCCGGGGCCCTTCCTATGGTAGCCTGTGGAGTGTATGCTGTGCGGGCCGCTTTGGGGCCAATGCGACCAAAGTTGATCGTGTTATTCCACTCCGCACGTCACCCCAGTGCGCTGTGGAGTGGAGCGTGGAGCTCAGTGTTTAAGCACCTCAGGATTCTGTTGGGTGACGGAAGGCATTAAACACCTGGTGGGACCAGGATCAGGCTCCTGGGGCTCAGGTATCAGCTAGGAACCCGTTTGCCCGTCCTAAATGGAACAATTCTGAAGGTTAAGAAACGTCCAGGAGACTCAAAACCTACACTGTACCTTAAGGCTCTTCACCCTTGGCCCCTGACAAGAAATGGCAATGGGCCTTGTTCTCTGCGGAAGTAGATTCTACTGCCAAGTTTTCTGTGGTGACAAGTGGGACTTGAAACTTGATAGATACCTACAGGAAAGAAAGCTAGGTATTGTCTGCCCCCCCCCCCAGTTACCTTCCTGAAGTGGTTTGTGTAGATAATTTTAACATCTTTTGAGGTGAGGGGGGAATTTTATTTATAGCAATGTGGAATACCCGAATTTCAAAGTTGTGTTTGAGGCCATATAATCCCCGGACAATAGTTTCGCTCACTCATAACCTAGTTTTGTCTCAGAACTTAAGAATTAATCGTTCGGGAAAAATAAAATGTTTTGCTTTAATTTTCACTTTAGTCTGTATGTGTGTGTACCCCTATCCAAAAATGTGTTTGTCTTCTGGCAAGAAAAAGATGGTTGAATGTCATTTTCTATAGGCACTCACCAGAGTGTATGTAAAGTGCATCAAGTTTGAAAGAGAAATCAAAGACTCAATATAAACAAAATCCAGAAACAGTAACCTTTAATTTTAAAAGGCACGGTCTGTGAGTATTTTTTAAAAACTCGTTCTAAATTGTCATCATTCCTGTTCTGAATGTTACAGGGTTGAAAGTCTTTATTCCAGCCACCTGGTACCTAGGTGTGGCCCCGAGTGTCCAGAACACAGGTTTTTAAGGGCAGAAACCTGAAAGGCACGGCATCTCACTCAGCAGCTGCAGGGAGCTTCGAAGTGTAAGCAGTTTTAACAGAAGCTGAGATAAGCGTAGCTGGGTTCCGAACAAACAGGCGGCTAAGGTGAATGGTTAAGCTGGAGGAGGTTCTGCACAAACAAGCAGTTTTAGCAAAGGCTAAGATAAGTTAGCTCGGACATCCTGACCTTTGGGCCCCAGAATAGAGTTAGGTAGCTTTCCATGGGATTCTCCATCAAGATCAGATTTATATCTGGAGCTGGCCTCAGCAGGAATACAAGACCAAGGAACCTCTGCATTGTCTTGCCCAGTCACACTGTATTTCCAGCTTCCTCTAGTCGTGAATTAGGTTAATATCTGTACACATTCCAAAGGGAAGTACACTATAGAAACACTAACTTTCAGTTTTATGCACAGGATTAATAATACCATGTGGATTTTTACTTCCTTAAACAAGGCTGATGAATCAGAAACTAAAGACAGCTGTCATAAAGACTGCCTGCCAATAAATTGCCATTTCTTCATTTCCTCTAACGCTCTTATCGTTTTTCATCTCTACCTGTCCTGTGTTGAGGCACTAGCTTCATCTAAACCATTCTGGGAGTTTCTTTACCAAGGACATGAGCCTATTCTCATCAACGACTTATGCTCTGCTCTGCCCTCTGTCTTCTGCCCTGTGTCCCTTCTAACAACTGATGCTACTGACTGAAACAGCATCACCTTTACTCCTTAGCATTACAAAGCCTGGTGAACTCTGGTCCTACCTGCCCCCCAGTCTCCTCTCCCTAGAATAGTATTTCTTTCCAATAGTTTTGAAAACAAAACCTTTCTCATTCATAACCAAGCTTGAATCTCTGTTATAGAATGGAATTGATTCCTCTGCTACATTGCACTCTTTGAAGTACTATATAATTTCCTTGAAGTCCCAGGCTTAAAAATCAGTTTCCATATTTGCTTCCCTTAGCAGCTGCATGCTTGCTAGCATAAGGAATCATTTTGTGCTTGTAAAGTTAAGAGCCTCTACTGTGTGGAACTGATAAGTTGGTGAGGGTAGCAGCTTTATCACATAACAAAGCATAACAAAGCAAAAAGTGCTGAACAATTGGGGTTCTTTTTGAAGCCTGTGTGGTTATGGTTCAAAGCTGACCTCAATCTTACTATGTAAGGAATTGCTAAGGATTTTCTTTTTGTTTTTCCTTTTGAAATTAAGAATGTTTGTTAGTTGCTGGAGGTAGTGGCACATGCCTTTAGTCCCACCACTCAGGAGGCCGAGGCAGGCAGATCTCTGAGTTCAAGGCCAGCCTGGTCTACGTAGTGAGTTCCAGCCAGAACTACATAGTGAGACCATGTTAAAAAAATGTTAAAAACTTTCCACCAATAACCAATATTAGCTAAACAAATCAGGGTTTTGATTACCTATTTTATTATTTTTTTAAGATTTTATTTATTTCTTATGTATACAACATTCTGCTTCCATGTATATCTGCACACCAGAAGAGGACACCAGATCTCATAATGGATGGTTGTGAGCCACCATGTGGTTGCTGGGAATTGAACTCAGGACCTCTGGAAGAGTAATCAGTGCTCTTAACCTCCGAGCCATCTCCCCAGGCCCTTGATTACCTATTTTAAATAGCTATACTTTACTGATACATAAGAACTCATTATGGCCTGGCATTGGTGGTGCACACCTTTAATCCCAGCACTCAGGATGCAGAGGCAGGCAGATCTCTGTGATTTCTAGGCCAGCCTGGTCTCCAGAGCGAGTGCCAGGATAGGCTACAAAGCTACACAGAGACACCCTGTCTCAAAAAACAAAAACAAAAAAGAAAAAAAGAACTCATTATGCCCTCTAGGAGAATATTTCAGATCTGTTCAGTGGGACATGGTGGTACATGCCTGTTGCCCCTAGCTACTTGGGAGACAGATGGAAGGATCCCTTAAGCCCACAAGTTAGAGACTAAATTTGACTACAGCAAGACTTTGTCTAAAACAAAACAAAACAAAACAAAACAAAAACTGCCTTCAGAATATGAATTAACACATATTGAAAGGTACATTTTAAAAGAATAATTAATTTTCTTGATCCCCTTCATTTGGTAATGCAACCATTTAGACCATCTTAATTTTTAAGTAGTGAGATACTTAGTGAATAAATATACCTGTCTTTTACCGGAGTATATGTCGCAGCAAGGTGGTTATAGGAAATGAATTTCCCTCTTGGCTAAAACCACATAGAACCCTTCCTCCCCCCTTCCCTCACTAGTCACAAATTCAGTTGGTCACTTGGTTATAGGAATTGTGTATGATGGGATGTAAATGGAGTGGAAAGGAGGAATCAAGATGATGTTTTGTTGGTACCCCTATAAAAATCTGCAGATGGGGAAGCAGCTCAAATAATTTCTGAATTCGGTATTTCTTACACCACATACAATATTTTTCTTATTTGGTGATTCTTGGTGGTTTTGTTTGTTTGTTTGTTTGTGTTTGTTTTTGTTTTTGAGGAGTAAGGCGTTTGAGACAGTCTCGTGTAGCACATACTGGCCTCGAACTCTTGCTTCTCCTGCATCTTCCTTTCAAGTGCTGGGATTATAAGCTTGTGTCCCAACTCCCAGCTCGTTACTACTTTATTTTTTTAATATATTGATTGCCCCTATGTTTCTCTGCCTGCATGTGTTGGAGATAATGTGTAAGGATGTGCGGTTCCTGTCCTTATTTCTTCTCACTTGCTGCCTCCTGGCGGCACCAGGACTCAATAAAGAATACTCAACCTCTGCACCCATCAAGTCCAGGAACAACAGAAAATATACTGTCCTCCCTTCGCCTCCTGCTGTTTGATTTCCCGCTCTTTGCCTTCAAAATCTTCCTTAAGTTTCAAGTCTCTCTTCTGAGATTTTCCTGGATTTTCGTAAGCAAACCAAAATGCAAAGTCCTAATGGCTTGAAGGTGGGGCAGGGAGGATGATTCTATCGGGAGTAAACCCAACTCAGGGTCTCTTTAAGTGTCCAGAAAGTATGAAAAGAAGCGCTGATGCCTCCCAGGCCTGGGGCACTGGCATCAGGGACAGCTGACACCAGCCGTTCACATACGTGGTCCCGAAGGCACCCTGAGTCAGCCCGGACCACGGAGTCTTCTCTGGACCGGTAACCTTCCTCTCTTGTTCCTCCTCAGTGTCGCCAGGGGGCGCGGCGTGGTGCTAGTGCATGCGCATGCGCAGCGGGGGCAAAGGTTTGTTTTCTGCAGGCCGCAGCGGAGGCATGAAGACTGCGGCCGGGTCTGGGGAGGTCACCGTTGACCGGCGGTCGAAGCTGGTACTGTGCGTCCTCTGCGGCTTGCCGGCGGCCGGAAAGTCGACCTTCGCGCGTGCGTTGGCCCTCCGGCTGCGGCAGGAACGGGATTGGGCCGTGGGCGTCCTCTCCTACGACGATGTGCTGCCCCCCGCGCTCCCTGACGGCGCTGGCACACAGCCTCGGGTTAGCACCGGGTGGGAGCGGGCGGGTGTGCAGACCTGGCACAGGTAGTGTAGCTATCTATGGGTTATTGCCGCAAGCCGCCCTGGATCCTGACTAACCAGTGCCTGTGTTAGAAGGGGAAGACTGACCGGAGCTGGAGACGAAGGGAGCTGGTTATCTCCGCTCTAGGAGACATAGACCTGTGTCTCCGAACAGTAAGATACAGGACTATGGGCCATGCTTTGTAGAGGTTTTTATGCAAGTTTGGTAGTACATATATTGCATTTTTCTATGCACTGGAACTTTAAGAAAAAGCCTAGCTATGTTGCCTGGGTTGGTCCCAAACTCCAGGGCTCAAGGATCATTCTGACCCCGTTTCTTACTGCATCTGGAACTACAATTGCTACCTCCAAGTCCTATGGCAGAGTGAAAAAAATACTGAGTTTAATTTATAAGGTGAACATCCTAGTCAGATAACTCCTGATAATAGTCCCTTGGGTAGTTTCTCCCTAGACAAAGGAAGGGATCTAAAAAAAAAAAAAAAAAAAAAAAAAAAAAAAAAAGTCTGCTTCTAGCCGGTTAAAATCAGATTTTGTGGAACCATTTTGGAACTCCCCATGAGCATAAAGAATAAAAGTTATAAATAACAAAATTGCTAGTTCCCTCCAGGAAAAATTTACCAAATGAAGGGTCTGGTCTGCCATTAATATTGGAAAAGGTGGTGCTTTCTTGGTTGACAGCCAGATGGAGTAATAAGCTTGAATTGTGTGTGCCAAGTATATATTTCCCTGCACTTATACTTACATCCCAGTGAGGTGTGCCCCTCCCTGGTAGAAGCACACAGAAGCAAACTACATGATGGAGTAGAGTCCAGTCTCCAATTGTATACTTATGCTAAAGCAATATCTTTTGAAAGCTTCTGAAATCTTAAATTGTTACGTTTGGTAGTTAGTGCTTGAGTGTAGACAACATGAATTAAAAGCAAATAGGATGATTCCATTCTGTAAGTATATACAAAGATAAATATATACAAAGATACATGTATTTGGTATGTGAAAAAAAAATCTGGATTTCTCCATTAGAATTTGTCTGCTGTTTCAGTTTTGGTTGTGAGAGGGGTGAAACAGTGTTGTAATTGGGAGTTACTTGTATGGTAGTATTCTCACCACTTTGGATAAAGATAAAAGTTACTGATACAGATAATTTTTCCTTCACCTTATTACTGTGAATAATACTCTCCCCCTCCAGGTCTCACTTGGTCACTGTGATTAGGAAGTAGCACAGATTTTCTTCTCAGTGGGTTTATCTGGTTTGCTTTCATGTGGACAAGACAGGAGGATTCATCTTCAGTCCTTTTGTATTTCCTCTCCAGCCTTGACTTCAGAATTACAGTGCTCCGAGCCACCCCTCACAAAACAAGATTACTTGTATTCTCAAGCTCCCTATTTTCTTCCTCCTATCTGTTTCTGCCATCTTTCCCAATCTCACAGTCCAGTTGTTAGGGTCTGAGGTCTTTGCATCTTGACCAAAAGACCTTCCAACTGACTTATCTTGCTGTCGGTATCCCTTTTCATTTCAAGGACAAACCAACATTGCTATATCTTAGGTTATTTTACTTCAGCAGGATATTGGTTTTGGCTCCTTTGTTCTCCAGTATGGTATAGGGTTTTCAGTCTCATGTATTCACTCATTCATTCGTTCACTTAAAATACATTATTGGAACACCTGTCAACCTCTCAGCTGGAGGCTGATCTAGCAGGGAGAGAGATGCAGGTCCACATAGATATCTGATGTAAGCCCTGCTAGAGCAGAGACAATGTAGAGAATGGGGCTAGATTGCCTTCTACATGATAGCGTCTGAGAAGGCCTCACACAGCTCTGGCAGCATTGGGGATATTCCAGGAAGAGGGTGCAGGAGCTATGAAGACAGGAAGATATGAGAAACAAGGTGACTCTTAGAACTTCAAATGTTTCAGTATTGTCGAATTTTAAATGGGGACGGGATGGCAATAAAACGAGATGACAAGCCTGCTAGCCAAAGCCTAAAATAAATTTCAATTTTTTTTTTTTTGTAGCCATCCCAATGGAAAATGTTTCGACAAGAACTGTTAAAGCACCTGGAATGCTTCCTCGTGGCGGTCATTGGTGGGGGTCAGATGTCTGCCCCACCCAACAGCACTGAAGCTGTGTGGGAAGATTTTATAACTTGCTTAAAAAAACAGGATTTGATCTTTTCTGCAGCGCTTGAGGCCCAGCCGTGCCACCTCTTGGCAAAAACTGTTGTTTCTAGACCTTTGTTTTTGGTGTTAGATGACAACTTTTATTACCAAAGTATGAGATATGAAGTCTACCAACTGGCTCGGAAATGTAATTAAAACATTTTTCTTACACACAGAAACATCGATTCACATGTATCAAACCACAGGGCCTTTAGTGAGCATTTAATTGGATTAGGTTTATATGGATTTAATATGTAAAGTAGGTGTTCCGTATTGCAAATGGAGCTTTTCCTGCTTCATCTGGGACTAGTATATATTTATTTCACATTTCTGGAGAGACAGACTAGTAATTTGGTAATTTTAAACCTGTTTTCAGATTCCCTGGGCTTTTGCCAGCTCTTTTTAGATTGTCCCCTGGAAACATGTTTGCTGAGGAATGGCCAGAGACCCCAGCCACTGCCTAATGAGACCATCCACCTCATGGAGAGAAAGATTGAAAAGCCCAACCCTGAGAAAAACTCCTGGGAACACAACAGCCTCATGATTCAGAGTACAGCATGTCCTGTGGAGGCCAGGTATCCTACCCTGTGCCATCTTAGTGCTGTCCTGTGGGCACCCTGTAAAACATGCTCAACTGTATGGGACTGGCCATTCTCCTACAGGCCTCGAGGAATTGTGTGGAGGAACAAACTAACTGAGGAAGTTTAGGGTCACCAAACTTGTAACGGCTGAGATATGAACCCAAGTTTCTTTATAAATGTCTGCTTTTAACCATTCAAATAGTATTGTCTCAGGCTGGGAAGATAACTCAGCAGATAAAGAGCTCGAGGCACTGGACCTGAGCTCAGATCCCCAGCACGCATGTAAAGTTGGGCATAGCTGCTCAGTCTGTGATCCCAGCACTGGGTGGGGGTGATGCTTGCTGACCAGCCCATCTAGTAAGAGACCCTGTCTTTTGGTACTCTTGATAAAGTTGCCTAAATAGGTTGTGAAGTGTCTTCATATAGATCCATGAGCTAGAGGTACAGCTCAGTGGTCTAGCACCTGTGTAGCTTGTGCAAAGCCGTAGCTTGAAACCTAGCTCTCCCCAAAAGTTTTAAGTTGTAATAAAACTAATGATGGGTTTTGATTTGTCCTAGAACTCTCTGTAGTTACCTGCCCATGTGTATGTGGAGCTCGTGGACTCTGGTGTCTTGTTTCCCAATATGTCTGGAGAATTCTGGAGCAGTATATTTCTCTTAGAAATTTCATGAATGATGGAAATGTTCTCTGCTCTATCTAGTAATGGAGCAGCTAGCCATGCTTGTTGTTGAACACTTAGATGTGTCTAATGCAACTGAACACCTGAGGTGTTAGTTAATTTAATATAGCCTCATATGGCTACAAAATGTACTGTTGAACAGTGTGGATCTCAAGATGCATTGTGCATGTTTCTTTTTTTTAAGTGACAAGTTTTATTAGAAAGGGAAGGGAGGGGGAGGGAAAGAAGAGAAAGAGGGGGAGAGAGAGAGAGAAAGAAAGGAAAAGTCCTGTCTGTCCCATTAGAGGATCAGTAGGGAAATAGAGTTGTCCATGTTTCTTTGGTTTATTTTTTTTTTTTGAGACAGGATTTCTCTGTGTAGCCTTGACTGTCCTAGAACTCACTCTGTAGACCAGACTGGCCCCCAACTCACAGAGATCTGCCTGCTTCTGCCTCCCGAGTGCTGGGATTAAAGGCGTGCACCACTGCTGCTCAGTGACTCTTACCATCTTTCTGTCTCTTCTTCTGTGATGTTACCTGAACCCTGAGCACAGAGATTGTGTTGTAGATGTATCCACTGAGGCCAGACATCCTGTGACTGCTTGTTGTATGCATTTTGACCACTTGTAATGGTCTCAATTGGCTTCGAAGAGAAATTTCTTTGAGGAGGGATGAAAGTTGCACCTACATGTGGGCAGGTATAAGGATAAGTATTTAGAATGCTGTTAGGAATTACGCTGATTTATTAAAGTGGTGGTAGTAGGTTCTCTTCTAAGGTCCTTGGTCTCACTAGCATGACTTTCTTCCTGTTCGGTGGACCTTAAGGCCAATTAGACACCTATTGATTACTGCCAAGAAATGATTGCCACTATTGCACCTTTAAGGATATTGTACCATGCTGGTTTTAAGCCAAATTCATTCTTTGAATGTCTTTAAATAGATTTCCCAGTACAGTTTCTATAGTTTATAAATTTCACATGCCCAAACAAAACAGAACTAGCACTCAGATTACTATTGTTTATAGAATTCATGAAACAAGCCATTGGTGAGGTTTCTAGTTTTTCAAAACAGGGTCTCAGTATGTAGCCTGGGCTGGGCCTGAACTTATGTTCCTGCTTCAGACTCCCAAGTCCTGGGATTGTAGATAGGTGTATATATATCATCAATGAATTGCTATCCTTTCCGGAGCTCTTATGTATTTTTGGCATAAGTGACTGACGTACTGTTAGTATGGTATCAGTTGATCTTCACTGCCTTGACACCAGTGGGATATGGGCCAGTAGTGTGGGTTTCTGTAGTCACTTTCAGCCCTTAATGTAATCTGCAGTTCTGCCCCAGGTCTTACGAACTTGGTCAGGTCGATTATACATATGCAGTAGCTACAGGGCAACTACCTGGCTCACCCATCTAACTGTAGTGAATAATGGTTATATGGCTACCCAATCTCTCAGCACAATCACTTTGTTGTCTTCACTTAGCCACTTACCACTGTCCAGCATTATGTTTGTTCCCAATGGTTTACCTTCTCATTCCATTCTGTTTTCAAGATTAGAGTTGGGTTGGGTACTTTGTTATAACCCCCAGATTAGCAGTTTCACATATGCAGCTTTACAACGTTTACATATGAGATGCTCAATATATATTTATTGGATGAGTGAATTTTACCTGAGTTCTTCAGGGACCCTTGTATAGGGAGGAAATTTACTAATCCTTATCTAGTAAATAAGCAGAAGTCTGAAGTAAATACCATCTTTCTTTAGGAACTAAAATCGAGTTTTAAAAGCCTATAGTCCAGGATGTAACAAGGGAGATTGCTTATCGGTAAGAGAGTCTTAGAAAATCAGTATTTTATGAGGCAGGAATAGCTTGTAATTTGTTTTGCGCTTCACTTAACGATTTACAAATGGAAGATGGCTTCTAAAATCACTTAGTTTATTCCCTTCCAGTAAGGACCTTGGATGACAGTTTTGTTCTCCCGCATTCATTCTAGTATTATTAATGCAGGTTCTTTCAAAAGCAAATGCTTTATAGAAAGATTGATTATACTTTATCTCACTTTCTCTGCAGCCTGGAGGTGACTGATTTATTGCTTACTGCTTTGGAAAATCCCATAAAATGTGTTGAGGACAATACAGAACAAAAGGTAAGTACTCCACTTAGACTTGGTGCAGATGAGGAGTAACTGTTTTTGCAGGGAGATCTTTTTAAGCTGACAGCGAGAGAAAAGTGAAAGAAGGTCTGTCAGCAACAGACCTTTGGCTTCTGACATCCAGGCAGGCCTGTGCTGGCTGCTCAGAGCCATGGTAAATGGTCAAAAATGCTGGAACCTCATATTGGTGACTTAAAGTGGATGACCATGGAAATGTTTACACCATCAAAGCACAGAAACACTACATACAGGTTGGAGGAAGTTTTTCGTTCTAGAAAGCCAGTTATTGCACAGTTACCAGCATACCCACTTTACAACTGGACATGATTGATTTGGATCTTCTGTGAGAGAAAATGAACAGAAAAAACACTGCAGCTTTTCTTTTGGTCCCTTCAAATGAGTCTATACCTTGGTCATTTATTTTATAAACTATTCCCAGTAACAATGTCTATATTACCAGGAAACAGACAGAATTATTTGTTCTACTAACATCCTCCATAAAGCTGATGAGACACTCCGAAGAACCATCTCTCAGACCATGAAGGAAGCCAAAGGTACGCCGACTGGTTCTGTACTGTTTAGCTACTGGGGTGCTGTCTCTTGCTGTCATTTCCTTGACACCAGAGTTTATATCAACATTTCAGTTTAACATCTGCTGTTTGGTTACATAGCTACTGTCCCCTGGAATTGGGTATTTATCCATTTCATACATTTTTATTGAGTGGCCTCTTTTTTTTTTTTCACTAGACTTTTTCTTAAATACTAGGTAATCAATAGGAAGCAGAACATTTTAGTGGAGACAGACAAAAGGGTAATTAATTATATGAATATATGTTAGTCCCCTGAAAGAGAGTGGTAAATTTATTTTTAAGAGTAATTAGGGTGATGAAGAGGAGGCTTAGAGGTTAAGGGCACTCTGGGGTCAGGAGCCAGACATGCATGGAGTTTGAACAAGGTCACTGTATTATAAATATGAATTTAAAAATAATGTTTCAGATATGTGGTAATTATAGCTTTTCCAATATGTCTTGAATAATTAACTCCTTTCAATGTTTAAAATTTGTTTTAAAAAGAAAACAGTAGCTGACATTTATTTAACTCCTTTGATGACTCTTTATAATCATGTAAGGTTGGTGTAATTTTATAAATGAGAAAAAATATGGAGATTCACAATGAACCAAGTAAGTTTCCCGAGGCTGAATAGCTGCTAAATTTGGGAGCAACCTGGAACGAAGTTAATTCTGATTCCAGTCTGATGTTATGCTTCCATGCTTTTATTGTTACCTTCATAACAGCTGGGAACACTGAAAAGGAATGTGTAACCATACCATATTTTTTCAAATTCTCTTTGTCCATGAGCATACACAGATTTTACACCATAAATGGTGTGTGATAAGAGCATATAAACTCAGACACATGTGGAAACAAGTTTTACAAACACATCCTTATATTTAATGGAATGTTTTATTTTCTCATTTTAGAATACCTGTTGCCACTCACTAGTGAATTACAACCCAAAACTTTTAATAGGGGATTGGAACAGAAATGGCAGCATAATTAGAACAAATCAGAAACCATTTTAGTTTTTTCTCTCTGCCATTTGCCTCTTGTTCTGTTTTATACCCAAGTCACTCACCATTCCCAGGCCCTGGGAAATGGAGACTTTTCTGGAGGGGAGAGGAGTCAGTACTAGTTTCTAAATGTGTGCTTGAACAAAACTAAAAATTCAACTAAAAATTCAAGAAAGTGAGATGACAGCCCACATATGGGTTAAAACACTTGCAAATATTTCATGAGAAACTTAAATATATGAGTATAAGTATATAGAGAACTCTTTACCACTCAGTAACACACAGGCAACCCAATTTTAAATGGACAAATACCTAAACAGACATCTTTTTTTTTCCCAAGAGAGATAAAGAGATGACCAATATTCAAATGAAGATGTATTTAAAATTTAGTACAGCAAAATACAGATCAAAACCATGGGAGATACCATTTCACAGCCAGTAGAATGGCCAGAATGAGAAGGTCCAAGACTTGTTGAGGATATGGACAAATCAAAACCCTCACATTCTACTGGTGGAAATATAAATGAGGCAGCTGATTTGGAAACTGCCAGGCAGTTCTTCTAATGCCATTACCACGTGGCCAAGCTATTCTGTTCCATGGTATAGGTTTGAGAGAAATGAAAACATAATGTTGACAAAAAGCCTGTTTATAGCAGCACTATTCCTAACAGCCAAAAGAGAGAAACAACCCAACTTGCCCATCACCTGATAAATGGATAAATACATGAGGTCACCCATACAATGGAAAGTTGTGTAGCTGTGAATAGGACTAGAATACTGACCAGGATAAAACATGGGAACCTTGGTAACATCCACACTGAAAGAGGTCATATGAACATCCAGAACCACAAATCACAACAGGATTAGCGCTGAATAGGAAGTAGGGTTGAGAAGGGCAACTGTCAGAGGGTACAGGTTTTGCTTTTCAGTTGTGAAAATGTTTTTAAATGAACTGTGATGATGATTGCACATTTGTGAGTATTCTAAAAACCATTTCTCTCTCTCTCTCTCTCTCTCTCTCTCCTCTCTCTCTCTCTTTTTGAGACAGGGTAGCTCCGGCTGTCTAGGAACTTTTTGTAGACAGGCTGGCCTGAACTCACAGATCTACCTGCATCTGCCTCCTCAGTGCTGGGATTAAGAGTGTGCCACTATGCAAGCCAAACCATTACATTTTAAATTGATATATTTATGGTGAGTTATATCGAAATAAAGCTAATTTCAGATGCTCAGTAACATGGCCCATATGGCAGTGCCTGGTATCACATTTCCATCATCACAGAAAAGTTACGTGGGACAACTGTTCAAATGTATTATTTATCAGCTTCAAAGAAACAATTTGTCATTTTATTTTTCAAAGCAAAAGATGGTAAAATAGGTATCTTGGCTCAAAAACAGTCCAGTGTGGCATTGCAAGCCTTCAATCCTGGCACTTGAGAGGCAGAAGCATGCCAGCTCTGTGAGTTTAGGATCAGCTTGGTCTACATAGTGAATTCCAGGCCAGCCAGGGCTACACAGTAAGAACTCGTCTCAAAAAAATAAGCAGCCAAACAAAAAACCCCAAAACATCCTTTTAGGGGGCTAGAGAGATGGGTCAGTAGTTAAGAGCACTTGCTATTCTTTAAGAAGATCTGTGTTCAGTTCCCAGCACTGACACGATGGCTCACAACCATCTATAACTCCAGTAATGAGAAATCTTATGCCCTCTTCTGGCTTCTGTGAGCAATAGGCATTATAGTGACGCACGCACGCACGCACGCACGCACGCACGCACGCACGCACGCACGCACGCACGCACGCACGCACGCGTGCGCAGTAGGAACTCAAATTATATAAAAACAAAATCTTCAAAATATGTATCCTTTCAGGTTTGTCTTTCTGCTCATATACCAGAGTAGTTACTTAAACTGCCTGTGGCTCTTGTTTTAAATGACTTTTCTAGATCACATTAATGTTATATCTTGTCCATAAATTATTACAATGCATCCTAATTGTTTATTGGAGAATCTTGCCTGTTTGATGTAATCAAATGGCAGTAGGCAGCCCAGACTGACTTACAGGAATAATCTGAGAATATCTTTTATTTTAGATGAGCAGATACCTCTTAATAACTTGAAGCGTCTAGCAGAAGAACTTAACAGGCTCAAAGCAGATTTTTTGGAAGATCTAAGACAAGGAAACAGAAAATATCTATGTTTTCAACAAACCACTGACTTATCAGATGTTATTTCTTCTTTTTGTGATGAGAGAGATACTGTTGTACAGAAGTATTTTTCAAAGCAACATTAAACTTTCTGAATTTCTAATCAAATGTCTGGCTTGGGTAAACTTTTGCAAACAATTTTGTATGACGGGGTCTTTTTTACCAATACTCTGAACTGTCAAAGACCATTCTGAACATAAAAAGCAACCCAAACTGTCTATTTTCAAAGTTCTATTTTACATGCTAGAAGCTACTTCGGAGATCTGCTTGTCAAATGTGACATAGATAACTGAGGCAGAGGCAGCTTTCCTCACTGATGTGTCACATAGTGTAGGGTAGAGCAGGTCAAATGGATTTGAATAAAGAGGAATGTATTAGTTACTGGCACACAACTATGACAAAATAGCTGACAGAAAACCACTTGAAGGAGGAGTAATTTATTTGGGCTCACAGCTTCAGGTTTTCAGGTACAGAGGGTGTGACCACTCGACTGGATTTGTGCACAGTGGCAAAAGTTTGCGCTGTTGTTTCTCACCCTGTGGGCAAGGAAGCAGATTCTAGACAAGAATCAGAGGCAGATAAAACCTTCAAGGCCTGTTGTAGTGACCACTTCCACCAAGTAGGCACCACATCCTCAAGGTTATATAAAACCTCCTGAAACAATGGCACCAAATGGGGACCGTTCAAACAGAAGAGCCTACAGGGCACATGCCTCATTCAAACCATAACAGTTAGAAATGAATTTAGATGTATAGTGCTCTTTTGTTGTAAACTCATAACTCTTTCTAGAATGGATTCTAGAAATTCAAACTAGCCAGTCATAAAATCCTTTATATTTTATGTATCATAAATTACAAAAAAATCAATTTGATTCTAATTAAAAAAAACAAAGTCATAAAAAGTGTTATGTTTTTATTCATATATTACAAAAGCAAAGCATTATTCACAATAGGAACTACATACTAGATATAGTTACTTCAGCATTAAACTGCTTTCTTGATCCCTAAACAATATAATGTACCTTACAACTGAAATGCAAGATTTACACCTTGTGTAGACAACATGTCCCATACATCCAGGCATCAACAAAAAGAAGTTAGAAAGCATACACCTACCCGCTAAGGCTAACAAAAACATCGTTAGCAGGGAATTTAAAGTTTTCCAATTTTCTTCACTTGATAAGTATTTTTGCAGTTACCTCTGTTGTGTTTTTTGTTTTTCTTTTTAAGTAATATTCCCTTTGTCAAACAATTCTGCAGATGAACAGCAAACTCATTTCTAAAATGAAACAGCACTGGAACTACCCAATGGAAAAAATTCAAAATAAAAGTCTAGTCTTCACTTGAATGTCAAGAAGTTGTAGCTACACATTACATTAGTAAAATCTGAAAATTATTCCGTTAATCTCTTCACAGTTTCTTAAAAAAATATTAGTGGAGATAAATTACCAACTTTAAAAATCTAAACTTATGTTCACTGAACAAAAATAAATTTAGTTTTAGAACATTGCCTGTTAATGGCAAAGTACTATAAATAGTGCATGTTAAACTTTTCTCAACTCATTTCTATAAAACATCTGGTTAAAAATAAAATGAGGAACATACTTAGTATTTAAGGAAAGAATCTAACATCTTTCCTAATACAGAATTTAACTCAGAATATTTAAGCAAAATCCTAAATCTTTAAAAGTACAATTTCAAAAAAGTTTCTAAGGTAGATTTGCTTCAAAATTTTAGTGCATTTATTTGTAGCTTTATGCATCAACACCTTTGGAAGACCAACTGTGCTCTTTATGGTATTAGAAAATTAGGATTTTTCCTTCTGGTTTGTAATTATGAAAAGTCTCTTCCATATTTAAAGTGAAATGTACTTTCAAAACATTCATCTTTAGTTGTTAGGAAAAACAAAAAGCACATGTCACTGTTTGGCCCAGAATGTAAAGATGATAAAGCTGGCTTTATGGCGAGCTCTTACAGGTTGTTTGGCTTTTGAGACTCTTGAGTTTTGCAGTGATGCCCAGCCTGGCAGGAAACTCCTGGGCTCTAGCAATCTTTCTTCCTGCCTGGGCTTCCCAAGCACCTGGGATTACAGGTGTGCAGCACCACACTGGGCTTCTTCCTCTTTCAGGGAAGTTTTCATAGTCTGTTTGGGGGTATTGCTTTTAGTTGAATCAAACTTAAAAAAATAGCAGTTTCCAAACAACAACCTGTTTCCTTCTGGCAGCTGATAAGCACTACAGTCAAGTTATGCATTTGGAAAGTGTTGCACTAAAACTAAACTAACCAGTGAGTAATTTAAGCAATAGACAAACATCTCTAGAAAGTTAGAGTCATAAGAGAAATGTCTTTGGTGCTGTGCTTTAGCAGTGCAGTTGGGATGAGCCAAGACTGGTTATGCAAGCACAGGCACCCTCTGAATGGCTTTTGAGCACTGGGAGGGAGGGCACAGATCCATTAACAGGGCACTTGGGGCTTAATGGGTAGACACCATTAATATTTCCCTCTTATTTACTGTAAGAGGCCATTTTTGGTTAATAGATACTTGATAGGATATTTCTTTAAGAAGCCAATTAGGAATATTTTCAAGATATTAACAAAATTAAAAATGAAAATTTTGCAAAATACACAGAAACCAAGAGTAAGTGACAATGTTTTATTGTTTTGCCAGGCTCTCTTCAGAGTAAGCTACCTATTACACAATACAAAAATAACAGCTTCCTATGTAAAATGGACCGCTCTAATTATAAACAAATTTAATGTCACATTTAAATGTGCTTTGTATTAACTTCCACTCTTTATCCTTTCCCACTGTGGTGACTATCCCACTGTCACTGTCTGTGAAGATGCACAGGAAGTACCTTACATGGCCTACTCTTCAGAGGAAAGTAGGATCTGTGTGGGCATGTTCTCATTTTCATAGCTATTTCCTAATTATCACATTTTTCTGAGTTTCTATACCTACCTTTCTTGGAAATTATGGGCAGGAGGCAGAAAAGGAAACTCTGGAGGTTGTTTTGAAGCATCTTAATAAGACAGATTAACCCCACTTCCTCTTTGGTCATCTGAGATTAGGAAGAATAAGATTATCAGTGTGGTTGTCAGTCTTACCTGACACCACTAATAGCTGAATGCAGAATTTAAACGAAAGATTCAGATTGAAAAAGGCATCTAGCACTCTGGTATATTTACCTGTGACTTGAAAATAATACTTAGAAATATATATATATATAAAAATGAAAAACTAACATGTTTAAACTAAACATTAAATGAAGAGATATCTCCAATATCAAACACAATTTTCAATTTAGCCAAAAATTTCCAGGACTTTAATTTTTATAATTTAAATTTGAAAAGAATTACTTTGTATTTCCCATTGAAGAAAAAGGTTTATTACACTGAAATAACTCTGCTGTTTTTGGTTGAAATGAAACTAATTCAACTTAAGTGAATGGAAATAGCATTTTAATTAAGAGCAAATCTAAAGGCAGTTTGTCTACAAACACTGAAATGTTGTAAAAGGTTTTATGAGAAGTTTATTGTGCCACTTTGAAATATGGCAGAAGGAATATTTAGCTGTAATATATATACTGAAGCATCAAGAATACAGATAACCCTGGGAGTCCTTATGGACAAATGTAGGAAACAGAACACCTGGTAAGATTCCTACTGTACTTCAACTCTTACATGTCTAAGTGAAAAAGATATCAATGCATCTAACTATCTAATGCATAAATAACCCTGACCAGACTTGTATGAAAAGTTAACAAACCCCTTTTCACTATCAAATTACTAGTTTATGAATAGAATGTATAAATTTTAAATTAGCAGATACCTTATTAGGGATGATCAAAACTAAAGACCAAACTACAAAACCCCCAAAAGGCCAAACCAAGTGAGGACAATGTTGATTGTGTTCAGTGCTGGTTATGTTGCCCTCTTGCAAAATGACAGGCAAAATCATACTTGTTTTTACATTTGCATCCACATATATTACACTGAAAAGGATTTTCGTAGCCATGGCATCCCATGTGAATAGTGTAAAGGATATTGTCTGCAAAGTACATATCACAGTGCTGGCAGTGGTGTAGAAGCTGAGGATCCTGGACCGGCAGGGTTGGAGCTGGAGTGCTTGGCTGGCTGTTTCCTATGCTGGGGGTACTGGTGTGGGCACTTGGTTCGCTGCTCGGCCCTGCCACTGGACTGTAGTTCCTCTGACTGTGCGATGGCCGAGGTTCTGGGCTTGTGGGGGAGGAGCTCTGAGGAATACTTGCTGATACAGCAGAGACTACTGCTTGGGCAGAGGGCTGCTGAATCATGAAAGGCTTTTCATCAGGGCAGGGAACTACATCAGGGGAGGCAGGGTTTTGGTTTTCTGGTGGCAAGCTGGACAGCTGTCCTGCTAAAGTTGAGAGCTGATTCAAAGGGTTGTCAACCATGAGTTCTTGTGGGTCCCTTGGCAGGCCACCAGTTGGTGTAGTTTTCGCCATAGTTTCATAGGAGTCAGTCTGAATATTTGGGATTTCGTGGGTAAAATCATTAAGGTAGTCTGGTTTCTGGACCACCATGGAAGGTGGACTTAAGTTAATTAGTGCTCTTCTGCTGTACCCCAGATTGCTTGTTTTCTTTTGTAAAACCCCCCACATTTTCTTACTGCTTAAGGAAGACCTGGTACCTTTAATTGGTACCATTTTATGTTTGCGCCTTCGATGGTGGGACAGGTTACTTCGGTCACTGCAGCGGAAGGAACACAATTCACATTTGTATGGTTTTTCCCCAGTATGGGAACGCATGTGGGCTTCCAGATGGCGCTCATAAGCAGATGCAAATGGGCATAAATGACACCTGTGAGGTTTCTCACCTGTTTGAGAGAGAAATGGGAGAAATTGCAAGAGTAGCTCATTTATAGGACTTTTTATGTTTGTCCACTGGATGTGGAATTGATACAAAAAATAAAATGCTTTTCAGAAATTCAGAATTGTATAATAGGTTAGTAAAATCTGTAAAGAAACCTAAAAACTGAAATAAAGCTTAAGAATTCATTAGCAACAATTGTGGTATATAGCTTCTATTTAGTATGAAAACCATTTACAGTTTCCTCACATAATAAAA